AGTTCCAGGGAGCGGGGGCAGAATGGTTGGCTAAAAACCCACCCGACGGTTGTGGGGCAGATAAGGGAGTGACATAAACCATGCTGATGTTTGCTGAGTGAAGGGAGCTTTCGGATCAGTCGGTTGAAGGAGGTTGCAGAAGTAAGATATGGTGAGACCATGAGGGATTTGAAAGTGAGAACCAGGATCTTGAATTTGATCCACTGGGGAATGGGGAGACAATAGAGTTGAGCTAGGATGGAGTGATAGGCTTGCAGAGCTTGGTGGGAGAGGGCTGGAGCTCCAGAGTTCTGGATAGTCTGCAATTTGTGTAGGGAAGAGCTGGGACCATTTCCCCCCTGCTCGGTTCCTGACCCAACTGTCCAGCGCCTTGGGACATCCTCCAGACGTGAAAGGCGCTCTATAAATGCAATCTTGTTGTTGTTGTTGGGATGTCCAGTGGAGAGGGCATTAGCATTGCCAAGCTTGGACGTGATGAAAGGGTAGATGAGGGTCTCAGCGGCCTGGGGGAAAGGTAGTGGCTGAGGCACAATTATAGCAGTGAAGGAAAGCTGAGCGGTTAAGAGTACGGAAGTGGGGTTTCAAAAACACTTGGAAGTCAAACAAGACACAAATATTTTGCACTGGTTCTTCGAGGTGGAGGGCACAATCATACAGGTTAATGCTGAGGTGAGAAGGCACTGGAAGCGGCCAAGTGCTTGTCTGCTAACTGAAGAAAATTAGAGCTCATTCAGGACAGTCTGTCAGGAGTGGTCAGCAGTGGTCCTGGAGTCTAGGGTAGAGGCAAAGAAAGTTGGATGTCATCCGCATACATATGGAAGTAAACCCCATGTGTTTGACTTAGCAGATATACAACTAGTCAGTAAGGATGATTGATGCTTTTAACACCAGGTTGGCCAAATGTTTAATGTCTCATTGTAGGATACTGTTGTGTTCCTGTGGATCCCTTGGGGTTTGAGCACAAGTATTACCAGGTCCCGAAGGTACTTCTAGCAATTGCCTTTGAGACATTGTGGTTAGACTATCATGAGGAGACCAAAGGGGATATCTTCAGTGTGATGCAAGCCTCTTTCATGGCTGTCAGCATGAATGAAACTGCAGATTGTTCCCAGTCTCTCTAGTCTTTTTCTTGGAAATTATAAAGCAAAGGTTATGTTGGAGAGCTGGTAGGAATGTCCTCAGAAAGCTAGCAAGAAAATTTCATGTTTCAAGAGATTTCATGTGGAGGCCACACCTGGAACAGTGCTGCAGAGTTGAAAGTTAAGGAAGCTGAGACCAAATTCCTACTTAAGCGCCTGTCTGTGTGTATCCTTTGTTGACTTCCTGTCAAGAGGAATCTGGAGGTGCTTATTGAGGTCCAGAAATTTGTGTTGGTATTGAATTTATTTGTGTTGGTATATGAATTAGCATAATCTGGAAAAGGAGAGAAAAGAACAGGAGAATATTTTTAATTTTGTAGTTCTTGTTGTCATATGGTCATGCTGTTCTATCAGTTTGCCTGCATAATGTTGGAAGTGGGTAGGAGGAAAGAACGAGAGTTTGGGGGCACTATTATTGGTTAGGTACCGAAAACCATGAAGGGTCTAGTCTGAAAGGCAGGATTTTTGTCAGTATTTTATGATTGTAGATAGGGCAGTATATGAATCAGCACAGAGCATAACTTCCCAAGTTCTTATCTACATTGTATATCAAAAAGATTGTGGCTGATTTTCAAGTATTGTACCTGTAGTGGAAAACTCGTCAGTTTTGGACTAGTGTTATCACACCAGATCCTAATTGACCATTAAAGTACTTGTTTTTAGTGGGTGAAAATCAATCGGCAAAAATAATTCCTACCGTAATTTCATTTTTCAAACCTGAATTTGCAGATCTTAATTGGTGATCGGGAGAGGTAGCATGCATCCTGAAACCCTCCTCGATGCACTACTGGTTGCAGGAATACGCACATAATGTACACACGGGTGAACAATTTTTGCAAAGGCATGTTGCACAGGGCAGAAAAGCTTGGTCTGGGAATGCTTGCATCACATTCAGTGTTCATTCCCGGAACTATTTACAGGATGTGTTCATACTTGGCATGATAAAAATGGTCAGATTTGTTGTCTTGATTTGTGACAGTAGTATTTTAAAATATACAGTTCATGCTTTGTTAGTATCTGGTTTGATTTATTGAGTTCCTTTGATGTTCCACAATAAATCCAGATTTTCATGAAATTTATCCAAGGCTTTTTTTGTGCTAAGTTGTTCTTCCCTGCTTTTTGACAGGAAAATAGCCTCTGAAAATAAATCCAGGGTTTCATGTCTAGATTAAAACTGACTTTAATGTTCCTTACAGGTCTTTGATGATTCTTTTGAGAAATAAGTAGCAAACGAACAATGAGTGCTGTATGGAATTGATTTGTGTGAGGAACATTTATGGTCAGTGGCTACTTAATTTCTAAGTGCAAGTAAAACAATTTTGCAGATTTTTAATTTCCTTTTGAAAACATTTACAGGCTCCATTCGAAGTTCCAGCGTTGGTTTCTGGTCTGTGCTGCAGCCAGCTCGCGTGCATTGCACACACTTTTTCCCAGATATTTTCCTGCAGGGAGTCAGGGTGTGGATTATACATATAACTATTTAGTATGTTTTCGTGAGGCAAGGAGCTTTCATTAGTGTTATGCAGTTTTCTGTGTTCTGCTGTCAGTATTCTCTGTCAGCTTCTAGCTATATTTAAAAATAATTGAAAATTGAAAATGTGCAGAGAATTCTTAAAAGCTAATTTCAGTGCATAATTTACAGCAAAATACATCCTGTCTAAAATAGTTACTGTATGAATGCTTTAAAAGTAGATGCTAGGTTACATGTTGAATGAAAACTGCTCAGTATCAAACAATGTCACTTCTTATCAAAAGGCCCAAAAATATGTTGACAGACAATGTATAAAAATGGAAGGAAACAGGTCTACAAATCATTCAGCTGTTTAAGCATGTATAAAATACACAAGGAAGCAACACTTTGAAACTGTTGCACTTTGAGCAAACATAATTGATTTTAACAACAAGTTCGAGTTTGATTTAATCAGTGGCATGTTTTTTATTCTACCCCACTGGCCCTCTTGGAGCAAATTCAAGATTTTGTTCTGAATCTTTAAACCACTCCTGGTCTTGCTCCACTCTACATCTGCAACTTCCTCAAACCCTACCAACTCAGTTGCCCACTACCCTCAACAGGCCTGCTTCACATCCCCCACCTTACCACGGATAGTTGGGCTTTCAGCGCATTGGTCTCAACTCTGGAACCATCCCGTCTTGCCCTCTCCCTCGCTTCTTCAAGGTCCTCCTCAAGTCCTTCCTCTTTTACTGCGGTTTCAGCCAAACCCTCCCCTCGCCAGCTTAGGTGAAAACTTTAGGCTATCCAGCGCTTTGGGACGTCTTCCTCACGTGAACGGCGATATATACATTTTTATTGTATTTATCCACTGGTAAGCAGTGCAGGGTTATAATCTGGGCCGATAGAAAAATGCAGCTGCAATTTTGCCGCAGATTCGCTCTAAACAGTGTCCTCTGCTATGAAACTGCGAAAAAATGAATTTTCTGGCCCCAGGCCTCTCCGCGCTGTTTATCCGACGTCACTGTGGGCGTGCGGCTCCGGACTCGCATGCACGATGCGGCGCAAGCGGGAAATGGGCTTTATTCCACTCGGAGGCCTTACTGTTTAGATTGTCTGTGTGTGTGTCTCTCTATGTGTCTGTGTGAGCGTGTCTCTTTCCATGTATGTATTTGTGAGCGTCTATGTGAGTGTGTGTTTCTGTATGTGTGACTGTTTGTGAGTATGAGTCTGTGAGTGTGTCTGTTTCTCTGTGTGTTGTATGTATGTATACATTTGTGAGTATGTGTGTGTGTGTCTATTCTATATGTGCATATGTTTGAGTGTCTGTGTGAATGTGGAAGTATGTCTCTCTGTGTGTGCGTATGTGTGTGTATTGTATCCACCATTGACGGGAGAGCCTTCAGCCATTCTGTCCCCAACCTCTGGAATTCCATCCCCCAGTCACTCCGCCTCGCCCCCTCCTTAGCCTCCTTCAAGTCCCGCCTCAAGACCCTCCTCTTCGACCATACCATTGGCCACCCCCTTCCCCCCTCCCGACCCCAGTTCGGGTCTGAAATGCTGTACTCTGTCCAGCTCCTTGGGACATCCTCCCGATGTGAAAGGCGCTATACAAGTGTAATCTTGTTGTTGTTGTGTATATATCTTTGTGTCTGAGTGTATTTCTCTCCCTCGCTCTCTCAGAATGTGTGTCTTTCTGCATCTGTGATGGTGTGAGTCTCTCTGGGTCTCTGTGTCTGTGAGTGGTGCTGGGCCCTGAGAGGCAGGAGGTGGTGAGTTCCTGTACTCACACAGTGTCCTGACCTGAGTGTCTGTTTATGACCGATATCCAGGCTCTTCAGACCTGTGCTGGTGTCCCTCCCACCATGAGATTCACAGTTTTTCTTAAAGTAGAAATTTTGCAACAATCTAATGTGTGTTATTTTCTCATATTTAGTTTTTATCAATAAAATGAAGAAATGTAGGTTGTCAGTAAAATATACCTCAATAGCACCAAGCAACTCCACACAATTTTCTGCAGAAATAGTCAAATTTCCCTGCAATTTCCTGCAAATTTTTTAAATTTTCCTGCAATTTGGGGCAAATATTTCTGCACTTTTCTATTGGCGCTGGGTATAATTCTATTTCAGAATGTGTTCTTAATGTGGAGGAAAAATAATTAGATGTTCACTTATCACTGAGTAGGATATTCGATTTGTAGCTATTCAAGCTCACAATGGGTGGAAGAATCTGCTATGGGCGGGATCTTCTTAGGAAGAAGTTGCTTAGTTTGTGAACAGAAAGATTGCTGACAAAGAGGCATTTGAATTCAAGCTGCTAATAACATTGGCTTTGAGCATCTTAGAATGTTCTTCAAACTTTGTTTCTCGCTGCAAGTTGTATACTTTATTCTTTGATATCCATCCCAACAGGAAAATCCAAAAAGAGGCAGTGCGAAGTGACGTTTGATTACATTCCTCAAAATGAAGATGAACTTGAACTTAAACTTGGAGATGTTGTAGAAATAATTGACGAGGTAAGACATCTTTATGATATTTCAAGGTAATTGTTTTGCATTTAATACCAGAGTTAAAACATTTTTATTGGTTTGGGATACAATTTCTTATTAAGAAGGGATCTTTTTCATGTTGCTTTTTGTTTCAAATTAAATCACTGTTTATTCACTACGTAATATGTACAAATTGGTTTTGAAGTTTTTTATTTGCACAGTTGCTGTACTTTGCAGAAACTTTACAATGCTTTGAGATATTTTGCCTTAAGGCATTATGCAAAGTTTCAAATGCAAGTATTACTATTTATAATGGAGTTGACCTAGGATTTTGTAAAGTACACTGAGTGCTAAACTCCATGCGATAGTAAGCAACAGACCTTGAAAGAAACTATTATGGGAAGCACTCATGTTATAGTAACTCTTTCTATCTATCTTCAGCGGTAAGCTGCTTTCTGTTCAACTTTGCAATTCAATGCAACCAGTAGTATTAGCATGGCCTCAAAAAATGCACTGAGCAAGAACAATAATAATTTGCACTTTAGTGTCATTTACGTAACAACAAGATTTCATTTATAGAGCGCCTTTCCATTCGGGAGGACGTCCCAAGGCGCTGGACAGTTGGGTCGGGACCCGAGCAGGGGGGAACTGGTCAGGGTGAGGGGAGGGAAGGGAGGGAGCGAGGAGGGGTAGAGAGTCGAGAGGGGAGCTGAAGGCACGGTTGAAGAGAAAGGTCTTGAGACCGGCCTTGAAGGAGGAAACAAGGCAAAGGCACTGGGGGATGGAGTTCCAGAGTTTAGGGGCTGAGAGGCTGAAGGCCCGGCCACCGATGGTAGGGCGGTTGGGGCGGGGGATGTGGAGCAGACCGGAGCCAGAGGAACAGAGGGTACGGGAAGGTAAGTAGGGGGATAGTAGGTCGGAGAGGTAGGAGGGAACAAGGCCGTGAATGGCCTTGTAGGTGAGGATGAGGATCTTGAAATCGATCCTCTGGGGGATGGGGAGCCAGTGGAGCCGAGCGAGGGTGGGAGTGATGTGGTCCCGAAGCCTGGTGCGGGACAGTACACGAGCTGCAGAGTTCTGAATGACCTGCAGCTTGTGGAGGGAGGTGGCGGGAAGGTCGGCGATGAGAGAGTTCCCATAGTCCAGCCTTGAGGTGATAAAGGCGTGGACCAGAGTTTCCGCTGCGTGAGGGGTGAGGTAATGCCGTAGTCTGGCGATATTCCGGAGGTGATGGAAGGCGATGCCAGTTGTGGCGCGGATATGAGGAAGAAAGGACAGCTCAGGGTTGAACAGAACGCCGAGGTTCCTGACTGGCTTTGAGAGGTGGAGAGTGCAGCCTTGGATGCTGATGCTGTCAGCGCCTGACAGATAAGGATAACATCTCAAAGTGCTTCACAAAGTCAAAGTGACAGCCTGAGGTGGGGAGGGACGGAGGGGGGCAAGTAACAATCAAAAAGATGGATCTTTAAATGGGCCTTGAAAGCAGAGAGGAAGAGTATTGTATGGAAAATTAATGTTTTATTTGTATGAAGTTGAAATATTGGGTTCAAATGACATTTCATTTGAAGTGTTGTGTTCAGTTTTGGACCAAAAACTTTAGGAAGGATCTAGAATCTATTAACTTTGGAAGAAGTCCGTGACAATTCACCAGAATATGTTAGATGAAAAGATTTTATCCCTTGTAATTATGCACTTTTTCTTTCTCTAAACATCTGTGCCTAGGTCTCTGTGTATCTCTGCCACATTTGATTTGTGGCAGTCAAGACATCTGATACGTAGACCTGTGTATCAGATATCTAAATAACACAAATCTCAAACATTTTTACTGATGATTAAAATTTGCAATTGAACATCTTTGGTGCAAAATTTCAGCATTGACCTTTAGCCATGGCAGGAGAGGAAAGAGCTTTGATCTTTCCTCTCCCACCATTCCCTCTCTGAACCCCTCCAATCGGAAACAAGCCGGTGAAAGTCATTAATGACATTCTAAACATCTGCGACCAGGGCTTTCCTTGCCTCCTTGTCCTCCTGGACCTCTCTGCTACCTTCGACAATCAACCATTCTATCCTCCTACACCACCTCTCCTCTCAGCTCAGTCTTTGCAGATGCCCTTGCCTGGTTTGAATCCTACCTCTCAAACTGTTAGTGGCTTTTTCTCCAGCCCCCGGGATCCAAGCAGGAGGGCCTGGTCTTGCTGACATCCAATTGCAGGAAGTTAGCTCTCATCCAGGACTTAATGTCCTACAGGCAGTCAGTGAGGACAACAGTGGTCCTGGAATTGAGGGTGGACGCAGAGATGTAGAGTTGGGTGTTATCTGCATACATGTGGAAGTTGACCCCATGTCTGACGTGTGGCGTCCCTCAGGTTTCAGTCCTTGGCCATCTCCTTTTCAATATCTATATGCTCTCCCTAGGTGACATAATCCGTACCATGACCAACGATCCCCAGTTAAAACCAGTCATTCACTTCATGGATATTTGTGTAACATTTGAGGGACAAGGTGGGGGGACGTCCTCCCGACGTGAAAGGCGCTATACAAATGTAATGTTGTTGTTGTTCACATCGAGAGGATGTCCCAAAGCTCCTGACATTAGTTGCATTGTGTCCAATGTGATGTCATGTCCAATGTGTCATTGTGTGCATTTGGATTGCTCGCAGACAACTATTTGGACAGCTCCAGCTATAATGTTTATACATTATTTTTGTGACTGGCATCCTTAAAATAACACATCTAAGCTACGCTATTCAATTATGAAACTTATTAAAGATCTCTTCATAAGTTTCATAATAATAATAAAATACAGTGTAAAATAGTGATAATGAGTTATGTAAAAGTCGTGAACATAATATTTTGTTTTGTGGAACAGTCCTAACACAGAGGGACCAAAATTACTTTATCTGCCAATGTCAATTCCCAAACATGTCTGATGGTACTATCAAGGCTCATCATATTTCTTTTGGTCACTGGTACATGTGGAAACCCATCACCATATTTTTGGGCATGTAAACCAGACTGAGAGTTCCTGCATGCTGAATTACACCCTCTTGATCCCAACCTCCTGTTCAGGTCCAAATCCTACAAAATACACATTTACACTTTACTGTAAAAATCCTGTGATCTGCTTTGAGATATATCAACAACATGATGAGGTGCTTTATCAAATGGAACAATTATAATACAAATATTTAAGTACAGGTTTTAAAGGCTACAAGAACCATGTTTAGCTTCCCCCTACAGCTGGGTGGGTCTTTAAGGGAACCACAGCCAATGAGCTATAGGGACAGTGCATAAAGGCCTCTCTGAAGCCCTTGCTGTTTCTGATTGGAAACTGCCCTCGGCTGCAATAGTGGTCCTGGTTGAAATCAAGGCCGAAGTATGCAGCTTTGGTTATGTTAGTTCCAATATGTATTTCCATGCTATAGATATAACTCTATGTTTGTAAATCCTCATAATTTTCTAGAGGGGGAGAGACTAAATAGTGTTAATATTCAGAGTCCTTGACACCAATCACAGAAAGTTAGTATGCAGGTACAGCAAGCAATTAACAACAACAACAACAAGATTCCATTTATTGAGCGCCTTTCACGTCGGGAGGACGTCCCAAGGCGCTGTAAAGAAGGCCAATACCATGTCAGTGTTTATTGCAAAGGGGTTAGAGTACAAAAGTAGGGAAGTCTTACTGCAATTGTATAGGGCCTTGGTGAGAGCGTGCCTGGAATATTGTGTGCAGTTTTGGTTTCCATATATAAGAAAGGATATACTCGCCTTAGAGGGGGTGCAACGTAGATTCATTAGGTTGGTTCCTGGGATGAGGGGGTTGACCTATGAGGAAAGGTTGAGTAGACTAGGCCTATATTCTCTAGAATATAGAAGAATTAGAGGTGATCTTATAGAAACCCATAAGATTCTTAAGGGCCTTGACAGGGTAGATAGTGTGAGACTGATTCCCCTGGTTGGAGAATCTAAAACTAGGGGTCATAGTCTCAGGATTAAAGGTCCGCCCTTTAGAACTGAGTTGAGACAACATTTCTTTACTCACAGGGTAATAAATTTATGGAATTCTCTACCCCAGAAGGCTGTGGATGCTCAGTCATTGAACATATTCAAGACTGAGATCAATAGATTTTTAAAAACTAAAGGATTAAGGGATATGGAGATAGGGCAGGTAAATGGAATTAGGTTCGAAGATCAGCCATTATCTTATTAAATGGCGGGCATGCTCGAGGGGCCGAATGGCCTACTCCTGCTCCTATTTCTTATGTTCTTATAATGATCTGCATTTACCATTTATTATAATAAATGCAGAACCCTTATTATATACTAACAGAAATCTCAGCCTTCCAATTTCTTTCCACTTATTACCCTTTTGGGGGTTGTTCAGCATTTTTCTATTTAATTCGAAAATTTAGAGGAGTTAAATGAGAAATGCTCTATTGTTAAAGTATTTTTTTTGCTGCTCGGCTGCTCATTTGGGTGGAATTACATGGAGAGATGAGAGGGATGGACTGAGTATCCTTTTCCCTGACAATTGTTTCTTAGTGCCTTGTCATGGGGAGTGGTGTAGCTTAGTGATTAGAGCAATCGCCTCACAAGGGAGAGGACCTGGGTTCAATTCCTAGGCAGGGCCAAACTTTGGCTGCTGCGTTTCGCCCACAAAATATACAGTCAATTCACTTTAAAGTATATTTTGTGAAGCACTTTGAGACATCTCAAAGATGTGATAAGGCGCTATATTCAAATGCAAGGATTATTATGTGGTTGAAACATTTCAAATCACTGCAGAAGAGAATGTCTCAAAGTGCTTCACATGTTAATGAATGGAATGTTAATGATCTCCCAAACAGCCCAATTGTTGAACTATGAGCTTAGCTCGAATATCCGGTGACTCCACACAGACCTTCAAACATCATAAGAAAAGTGTCAAAATATTATGTGTCCTTCTGGGAACGGGAGAGACCAACATTTTACTGGAGTTTAGTTGTCTCTGAGGCGGTACTCCTGACAAAGACAGGCATGCACTTATTTACAATTACCGGTAGTGATCTGAGGCACTGATTCGACTGTACAAGTCCACAGTCCTGTGTGGTATGGTTACTTTACTTTTCTTACAGCCTTACATCAATAAGTTATCTCCATCTGTAGGATTCACGTGCAGTTACAATATAGTCTTTTTTTGTCAGTCAGGTATCTAAAAGAAGGGGGAATTATCGTTGAGCAATCATCATGCTTATTTGTAATCAGACCAGACTTGCTCAAATCCAAAATTGAGGGGATCCTCTCTGCTGCTTCTATCCCTTTTTCTGCCATCCCCTTCCCACCTATCCCTCCCCCTCTGACCTCCATCTATCCCTCCACACTTTTGACCTCGTCTCCCCCTCTTCTCTCACCGCCATCATTTCCCAAATGAAGCCCACCGCTTGCTCCTTTGACCTCATCCCTACCACTCTCCTTCCAGCTCCAACTCCTTGAGGGCTCTGTCTTTGGCCCTCTCCTTTTTGATATCTACATTTTCCCGCTTGGTGATACCGTTCGCAGGCATGGGGTTAACTTCCAATGTATATGGATGATACCCATATCTCTGCCTCTACCTTCAACTCAAGTTCTGGATGAGAGTTCATTATCTCCAGTTGAATGCCAACAAGACCAAGGCCCTCGTGCTTGGCTCGTGCCTCCTCACCTCAGGCACTGAAACATCACTATTCATGGATGCACACTCCACCTCTCCCAGCAAGTAAGGAACTTTGGTGTCTTGTTCAACCCTCAACTGTCTTTTAAATCCCACAGCCATACCAACACCCATTCTGTCTTCCCCCACCGCCGAAGCATTGCCCGCCTCCACCACTATCTCTCCCCTCAGGCTGCTGACACGCTAATCCATGCTTTTGTAACATCCAGGCTTGACTATGCTAACTCCCTGCTCGCCAGTCTTCCCAACTCTTCCCTTCACAAGCTGCAGAGTGTAGAAAGCTCTGCAGCTTATGTCCTCTCCCACCGTCAGCCGATCACTACCAACTCGCTTGACTTCACTGGCTTCCCAGCCCCCAGAGAATTGAATTTAAAATCTTTGTCCTCACCTTTAAAGAGGTCAGGCTTTTATCCTTTCAGCACCCTCCCTCTGAAACTTTATCCTCCAGATCCCTTCCACCTCACCCCCCCCCCCTCACCCACCCTTCTCCCTGGCCTCCTTCAAGATCTGTCTCAAGACCTTCCTCTTTGACCATGTCTTCGGTCATCTTCCCACCACTAGTACAAACCCTTGAATGTCCAACGCCTTGGGACGTCCTCTTGATGTGAAACACGTTATATAAATGCAATTTGTTGTTGTAGAGAATTCTACGTGAGTGTGCCACCTCCAAATGGAAATTTCCTGTGTCTGGAATGGACTGCGCACACTCTCCCTGGAGGAATATGCTTTGCTTCCCTAATTCCAGAGAGTATTAGGCCAAGTTTTGATACCTAAGCGTGTGTATTGGGTACTGCTGGAATTCAACCAGTTAGCACTGCATAACTTGTCATTGAGAGCACTGTCTGACAAGCTTTCTGCTGCTTGCAAGGAGCACTTTGCTGTTAGCGCTTTGACTTTCTGGATTATCAGAAGCCAAGTGGGAAGAATCCCTGCTCCCGTTGTCTGTCTATAAAGTGAATTAGCTGTATATTTTGTGGACCAAATGCAGCAGCCATGTCGTTACTTGTCCTGCCCACAGGCCAGGCTGGCTGGTCTGTCAGAGGGTTGTCTCGATTTTGACGTTCAATTCTCAAACATGTTGGAGAGGAGAAGAAGTAAGCAGAATCTCAAGATCCTGTTTGTCTCTTTCTCCCTCCTACTCACCCGAGGATATTTTACAATATTGCCATCAGACAAGTGATGTGTGACATGGTTGCTTTACTTTTCTTATACCTTTGCCTCAATGAGTTGTCTCCCTCTGCTGGCTACATGTGCAGTTACAAAATACTTAATTGTGTATCATCAGCAGACAAGTAATGACTTGGCTGCTGGTTTCGCCCACAAAATATACAGTTAATTCACTTTATAGTATATTCTGTGAAACGTTTTGAGACTTCTAGGTGCTATATCAAATGCAAGGATTATTATTATTATACACAGTAAGCAATATTGTAAAATATACTCCGGGAAGGTAGGAGGGAAGAAGAAGTCATCTGCAAGGCACTTTATAATGGATTCATCCTGATTGGCTCCCGTCAGAATCTCCACCCCTCAAGTACTGACAGCATTACTATCCAGGGATACATACTCCACCTCACAAAGTCCGTCTGAAACCTTAGCGTGTTGTTTGACCTTCAGCTGTCCTTTCTAGCCCACATCCATACCATGACCCGCTCTGCCTTCCACCACCTCCGCAACATCGCCCAGCTCTGCCGCTGCCTCAGCTCGCTGAAACCCTCATCCATGCATTCGTCACATCTAGGCTCGACTATGCCAACTACCTGCTTGTCGGCCTGTCCCTGACTTTTCCCTCCACGAGCTGCAGATCATCGAGAACTCTGCAGTTTGTGTTCTCCCCCGCACCAGGCTCCATGACCCAATCACCACCACCCTTGCCGGTTCGACTGGCTCCCCATCCCCAGAGGATAGAGTTCAAAATCCTCATCCTTGCCTTCAACACCTTCCACGGCACTTGCTCCTCCCTACCTGTGCGACCTGCTGACCCCATATAAACTTGTCCGCTCCCTCTGCTTAGCAGGCTATGGCCTGTTTCACGTCCCTTGCCCTGCGCGCCATTGGCGATCTGGCCTTCAGCCCTTCTGCCCCTATGGAACTCCATCCCACATTCCCTTCGCCTTGCTCCCTCTCTTGCCTCCTTCAAGGCATATCGCAAAACCCTCCTCTTTGAGCCTTCAGCCACCCTCCCCGATTCCAACCCCCAGCTCGGGTCCAAATCCCTGACTGTCCAGCGTCTTGGGACATTGTGGAGTCCTGTAGCTCAGTGGTTAGAGCACTCGCTTTGCAAGCGAGACACCTGGGTTCAATTCCTGACAGGGTGAAACCTTGGACAAGTTTCCTTACTCAACACGCCTAATAATAATCCCTCCAAAAAACAAACAAACAAAAAAATTGGTCCTTTTCAATCCACGTTTGTTTGTGGGACACTGCTGTGCGCAATTTGCTGCGGCGTTTTGCCCACAAATATACAGTCAATTCACTTTACAGTCTATTCTGTGAAGCGCTTTGAGTCGTCGAGAAGACGTGAAAAGCACTATATCAAATGCAAGGATTATTATTATTATTATCCTCCCAAATGTGAAAGGCGCTATATAAATTAAATTTTGTATTGTATAATGACTGGTTAAAATCCTATTTTATGTAAGAAGTCAGAATTGTAACAAAATACATTCAACAACAACAACAACTTGGATTTCTATAGCGCCCTCCATGCCGGACGGCGTTTCAGAGCGCTTCACAGTAACGGATCCCGGGGCTGAGCCAGGGGGAGGGGGGGGAAGGTGACCAAAGGTGCGGTTGAAAAGAAAGGTCTTCAGCTGAGACCTGAAAATAGGAAGGGAGGGGTTGAGGCAAAGGGAGTGAGGAAGGGAGTTCCAAAGCCTCAGGGCATAGTGGCTGAAAGCACTGCCACTGAGGGTGGAGCGGAGGACTCAGGGGACAAGGAGGAGGCCAGACCCGGTGGAACGAAGGCAACGGGCACTGTTGTGAGGAGAGAGGAGGTCAGAAAGTTAGGGGTGCAGAGGAGTGGAGGGATTTGAAGACTAGGGTGAAGATCTTGAAGTCGATCTTCTCTGGGACAGGCAGCCAGTGCAGTCTGGCAAGCACTGGGGTAATCGGGGAGCGGAGTTTGGTGCGGGTAAGAATGCGGGCGGCAGAGTTTTGCATGAACTGGATTTTATGGATGGTATTGGAGGGCAGTCTGGCGAGGAGGGCATTTGAAAAGTCCAGCCGAGAGGTGACAAAGCCATAGACCAGGGTTTCAGTAGCTTTTGGAGTGAGGTATTGGCGGAGACGGGAGATGCGTTGGAGGTGGAGAAAGCGGTGCTGGTGACGGACCAGATGTGGGGGAGGAAGGATAATTGGAGGTCGAACCTGACGCCTAGGTTGCATACGGGTTCAGAGAGTTTTAAGGGGAGGTCGGGTAGGTGGAGGAGATGAGAACCGAGTGATTTTAGAAGCTGACATTCAGCACCACTATACCAAACTCTGCTGTACTATTAAAACTTAAATCTTTAATTTATTTTTCCTATAGGAAGAGGAAGGTTGGTGGAGAGGAATCTTAAATGATAAAGTTGGAATGTTCCCATCCAATTTTGTTACGGAGCTGATGGATCAGGTTGAAGATGCAGAAACAAACGAAATGCAAAATGAATTGGGTATGGATTGGTCTTTTAAAACTTCCAAATAATTACATTTATTTTTGTTTACTAGCACCTAATATTTGTAAGAATCACTCCAGGATTAAAATGTGAGGCAATCGTATTTATGCATAGACCTTGGGTCAGTCTGGCCCAATTGGTAGCACGCTCACCTCTTGTGTCAGAATCTTGTGGGTTCAAGCCCCACGTCAGGACGTGGAATTCATATAGTCTAAACTGATACTTCAATGCAATGCTGGAGGTGTGCTGCAGTGTTGGAGTTGCTGTTCTTCGGATGAGATGTTAAACTGAGGGCCCTGTCTGCCTGTTTAGGTGGATGTTAACGATCTAATGGCACTATCCGAAAAGAGAAAAGAGTTCATTCCAATGCCTTGCCCATCAATCTCCCAAATAAAATGGTCATTCACTCCATGGTTGTTTGCAGGATTTTGCCATGCACAAATTGGTTGCTGCATTTGCCCACAAAACACAGAACTCCACTTATAGTATATCCGGTGAAGCATTTTGGGGGATCTTTCTAGTGTGAAAAGACAACCAAATGCAAGGATAATTATTAAAGAATAAATCTTTGACATATTTACACGTATCTTTGTATTTAACCCAATAATGATTCTTCATAAAGCATAAAATCAAGGGTTTCCAATAACATGTATTGAAACTTGTGTCATTCAACAATCTTACCAAGGTCTGCATGGGATACCACTGATAGAAGGAATGTGCCTGCACTGCATAAAATGATGATGTGGCCATCTTTGACCATTCGGGAAGCCCTGATGTAGAACATTTTTCTGTATTGTTATAAATTATTGCTTTATTAAGGCTGGCTCAGTTGGTATCACTTGAGCCTCCGAGTCCGTAGATTGTGGGTTCAACATGGGGACTTTGAACTCACAGTCTTGGCTGAAATTCCTAAAGAATGCTGGGGAAATGCTGTATTGTTGGAGATAATATCTTCCAGATGAGATGTTAAACAGAGGTCCCGTCTTCCATCGCAATGTTTGAAAAGGAAAAGAGGGCTTCTCCCACTGTCCTGGCCAACATGAGCATCAAAACTAGACAGCTAAATTCATAGTGCAATACATCATCCAGTTTGAAAATGGGACAAAATATGTTTCTTTTCATCCTAATATATACAATATTCAAATTAAAATGCAATGTTTTTTGATAAGTTAGTACTTGTCTGCTTGTATTGGAAGTTATTTCCCAACAGGAAGTACATCTTCTTTATTTCATGATCAAATCTTTCACCCAATGTCCTTGAAATGTGATACCATTGCATTGGAGTTTTGTAGCTTAGTGGCTGGAGCACTGTAGAGGACCTGGGTTTGATTCCCTGGCAGGGCGAAATGTCAGGCAAGTTTCCTTACTCCACACACCTCTGTATACTTCCCCGTAAGTTAGTAGGAACCTGTCTTTTAGCTGATTGATGGATCGCTTTTCTGGGGGTAATAATCCCTTCAAAAACATAATAATAATAATTTGGTCATTCAATCAACAACGGTTTGTGGGACACTGCTATGTGCAATTGGCTGACACATTTTGCCCACAAAATATGCACTTTACCGTATATTCTGTGAAGTGTTTTGAGATGTCTCGAAGATGTAATAAGGCACTATTATCAAATGAAAGCAATATTCCTATTATTATTAATAGGAATTGATTAATAGACCAGAGGCTTAAAGCTGCTGTGGGATTGCATAAGTAGTTTAAACATTGGAATGAAGTCTAGAAAAGAGTAAATTGTGTGTAGTCTAAATAAAATGAATGATGTTACGATAACTTTTTAATTTAATTTTTTTTGTGTTATCTTATGATGGTTTATGGGTTTTGAAATACGTCCAATGTTTGGTATTGCTGAAACTGAACTCCCATGAGAGCTTGCATTCCACAAAGCTTCTTAATATGTTTTTGTAATGGAAACCAATCAGGATTCCACTAGTTTATTTTCCTTCCCCCTTTCCCACCCCCTCTCAACCAAGGATTTGCTTTCTCTTGTTTAAACAATCTGAGGCTCTACTTTTAACAAATGCAATTTTACTGTGTGAAAACAAGGTTATATAAGATAAAATCATGGCATCAAGAAACTCTAAACAGCATAATAGATCATGGATAGCTATGCCTATTCTTGACATGTGTAGAACATTACCTCATTATGAGAAAAGTGGACCCTATATTCCAGGTACTGTATTTATCTTTAAATTTGGACTATAATGCTGCTTAGCAATTGCAGTTTATTATTATGGGGCTAAACATTTCTCTATTTTGTATCTAGAAAGGTTTGTGATATTTATAATCTGGATCATTGTTAATCTTAAAAGTATATTTTATTTCTCAATATTTCAGAAGTTGGCATTAAGGATTTTATTGGTGTTGGACCCTTATCACCAACCTCACCTCTAGAATTTTCAGGAAACGAGAGTCCAGTAGGAACAGGAGCAACTGTCCAACCAAAGAAAGTCCGTGGAGTGGGTTTTGGAGACATATTTAAAGAAGGATCAGTAAAACTAAAATCACGGTTATCCAACAGTGATTCATTAATAGAGGAGAAAAAGCCTGAAAAGGTAGGCATCATTTATGCTATTGATGATTTAATTTATTTTGGTTAGCCAGGCTATATATCTCAGAGTCTCCAGACAAATTACGGAGAATTTTACACATGGTTTTGTTTGTCTGGCTTGGTGTACACACTCTTTCCCCAGAGGAATGCACACTACGGACTGGAGAATTTAGGTACAGGTTGGCAAGAACCAAGGCTTGGGTAGCTGGAGTGCATTTAATCACTTAACTGATTTTTAACCAGATAAAACTGCAATCATTCCCACTGCTTTTCCAGCAAGGACACCCATTAGTGCTTTGGTTTACAGTGTTAAAAGATGCTGAATCTTGGCTCTGTTTGACTGGTCAAATGGAGTCAAGGTGCAAACTCCTTGCTTGTCTGCCTCCCCAACTCCTCCCTCCATGGGCTGCAGATTATCCAGAACTTTGCAGCCCGTGTCCTCTCCTGCACCAGGCTCTGTGACCCTATCAACCCCAACCTTTCCCAACTCCACTGGCTTCCCATCACAGAGTTCAAGATCCTGATCCTCACCTTCAAAGCCCTCCATGACCTTGCTCCCATCTACCTCTCCGACCTCTTAATCTCCTACCATCTGCCCACTCCCTCCGCTCAGCGGGCTCCGGCCTGCTCCACGTCCCCCGCATTGGCTGCCCCACCATTGGCGGGCGGGCCTTCTGCCACTCTGCCCCCACCCTCTGGAACTCCATCCCGCAGTCCCTCTGCCTCGCCCCCTCTCTTGCTTCCTTGAAGACCCATCTCAAGACCTTCCTCTTTGACCTTGCTTTCGATTACCCTGATTCCCCCCTGGTCCTCCATCCTCCCCAATCCCAACCTGCAGCTCGCGTCCGAAACTCTCCAGCGCTTTGGGACGTCTTCCCGACATGAAAGGTGCTATACAAATGTAATTTTGTTGTTGTTGTTGGTCTACTCATCCAAGTCTTATTGAGCTAGGCTTGCTAGAAAAATAATGTACAAGCCAAAGTTAGTATCCACCACAACTCCCAGATACCAATACAAATGAATGCTTGAACAACAACAATTCTACACTGATACAGAATACAGTAAGTCTCACACAAGTCATATCAGTCAGGACCATAACATTTAATATCACTTACGTGAACTGAGTTGCAGGCAAATTGTATAAGTCATATAAAATCTGATTTAATCAATAAGCATGGTTATTCAATGGTTATTTTAGCCGGTAAGTGCTTATGCGTTGACGGGTCAGTATGTCATTTCCCACTATTCAATGCAGCTGGCAAGTGCGTGAATACTGGAAGGTAGGAGAGCGGCGTTAGGAGGTGATTAATAGGAGTAGTGCAAAAAAATCTAAGTAGTTTTGGTAGAAAATTGAATGGGACTTGGGTGAATGAATGACTTAGGCGATTATACGATCTAGATACCTAAGACTTGTACAAGTTATACTCTATATAAATTTTGGGTTTTTGTTTCATGACTCACTGGAAGAATGGCAGCACCCCTGATAGTACAGCACCTCCTCAGCACTGCACAGCAGTTTCAACCTACACTGTGAGCTCAAAGTCAGGAGCAAACCATGCCGGGTTTCAATCATATCAATCTTTACTCAACATAAATTTAAACAAACGTACATAACAAAGGCTCAATTAAAGTACAATCAAAAATAGTAATGATAATTCAATATGGTTATGATAACAATAATGTAGCAAATAATACAGAAGTATTTTATCAAGTTTACCTCCTCTGGGAAGATTTTGCATTGCATTGAGTCTGATTGGTGCAAGCTTCCTCTCAGACCCTTACATCAACAAATTTAGTTAAACTCATCTTTTATACCCCAAAGTTATCCCATGTGACCCTAGCAACCAACCAGTTTTTGTCCAACATATTCGAAGTTCAATTATCCAATTTTATTCCCAACCTGGTTCATCCAATCATCTTTTCACACAAGGAGACACCCCTAGATTATTATATCTTAACCATACAAGAATTTGGCAGTCCTTTGTGTCTCCATTACCAAGTGTGAAAAGTTCAGCTCCACACTCTTCTTGGTACCTTGAAGTCGTAAAATCCTTGAATCTTGTAGTATTCTATACCAATCTGGTATATCCATCAGGACTCATTCACACCTGTTGAACACACTGCCCATTTACCCAATGCTGGTGTATTGATCAGACTCATGTAGTTGATTAAAAACCAAGGATAACGAGTTCCAAGAAGAGCATCCAACTGTTAGTTGGCAGTAGCTGGAATCCTTCATTGTGAACTCTTCTTGAACTCATGATCAACATAAGGTTGTTTTATTTTAATTCTTTCTTATAGTCTTTAACTTTAATTTTCTAATTTTCCATTTTAACCAGACTATCATTGTCCATAATTAATTATGCTAATGTTGTAAGGCAACGGGAGTATTTCATAGGAATCCACCTAGGATTTGGATTAAAAATGAATGCCTTCTAAAGATGTATAGATTTTCTGTCATGGTGATTGAAATTAAAAGTTCACCGTCCATTGGAGCTTATTAAATATTATGATTATTGTTGTGTGCAACTTGCTTGAATGTTATCATTTGAAAATAAGTATACAGAACAATTGAAAATCAGCCTTATGTACTTGTGGAAAGATGGCAATGTAATGCCTCTTCTTGTCAACTAGTACTAAAGGTGCCTGCATAACTAGTTTCAGGAGCACATTTGGCATTTTTTTGGAGTGCAGTCAAGTCACATTTGAATGACAAATTCCTGCGGGTTCATGGAGGCCGTTTGTGTAAACATTTTTCGGAGGAATTGTGTGAAAACTGCCATCTCTTTGATTGCGTGGAATTAAAAAGATTGTTATACTGCTATAACAGTTTAAAACCAGCATTAGTCACTGAACTTTTCTGTTGTATTGTGTTACAAAATCTCAATAGAAAGCAAATTATTTTAATGGTGGATCCTAAACTAGTTATTCTGTGAAAGGATATGCTGCATTGTCCTTTGAACTACCTCTTTGAAATGCCTGTTTGATCATTTTGAATACTATTTTGATTTGTTCATTTATTTGATATGCCTGTATGTCCTTCCAGCAACCAACCTCAGTAAGTACTGCAGAACCAGTGAAAAAAGCGGAACCAGAAAATAAACAGAAAGGTAAGGTGGAGAAGTCTTATGGGCATATAGATCCATATTTTGTCTTGGATTCAAAGGTAGTCTTTTCTATTAACTGATTAATGCCCAACAATAGAAAAGGTAATGACTGCACTTTAAATGAATTGAGTGCAAAGTTTCATTTAGTCTTAGTCATACTATTTTAAAATTTAAGATAGCACAGAATTGTAGAAATTAACTTTTAATTTGAGAAGTATTAGTTTTTAAAAATAACAGCTTAGGCTGCATTTACGAGTTTTCTTAATATTTTATGTAATCTAAATTTCAAGCCAAAATGGTCTCACAGGTGAAAAAAGAATTTCTGGCCTAAGCTATTTCAAGTTTTTATTTCATCTCTGCTCCTTAGTCTTATTAGGTTATATTTAATTAATATGAAAAAACACATAAGGATTTCAGCTGAAAACGTAGGGTTAGATTTTGAACGGTATTAAAAGATACTTTCTGTGCTGTGAGATCTCATTCTTTGTCCTTTTTATGGGGCATTGTTTTTCTTCTTTTCATTTTTTCCACTTTTGTCTCTTTCACTCTGTTTTCTCCTTGTGAATTGTAATGGTGGTTACTAAACTGTACTGATAATAATAATAGTAATTAATACTCCTTGCATATAATATTGTATCTGCGGCCTGGAATTCTACCATTTCTGCTTTTTACTTATGTGTAAACTCTTGAAAACCTTGAAGTTTAATCTTGAGGTTAAATAGGTTTCACACCTGTTGGTTTGAAGATTTAGTTTTTTGTTATAAAGATGGGAAATAGTTCTTCAACAATATATTGAACTGATGTGAAGTATATCCAAACGTGTTCTATGCCCATGTTTTTATTTGAAGCTGCTTAGTGCTTGAAGCTGTATATAAAATACTATGTTTCATATTTTTGTAGAGAAAATATTTATTTGTAAAATCATTACATCTTCTACATTTTTTTATTTCAGTCAAGGAATATTGCAAGGCATTATTTTCATATGAAGCAACAAATGATGATGAGCTCAACATTACGGAAGGGGATCAGATTCTACTGATACATAAGGTAAGCGTTTCTCAATGTTTTGTTTAAAACAATCTAGCCAGTAATTATAGAATGGGTAGCCTTATTTAGTGGAGAAGACTGGCCGAAAATGGGCTGAGCAGGGAGGAGCCAGGGTCACTTCACTTTGGTCATTACCTGGGCTAATAAATTGCAGAAATATTTACCAAAATTTGTGGGGGATTTGACAAATTTTGTGGAAAATTGCGGAGAAATTTGATAAAATTTGCCAAAAATTGTGGAGGGTTCATTGGTGCCTATTTTTGAGAGACAACCCGGATTAAAACTATAGGCATATGTTTCCTGAAAATGTAGTTGTGTTTAAAATAGTAAAAATGCTTCCGCAATCCCAACACTCCCCGCGCCACGCACGCAGGACCAGAACCACTCCACCCAAAATAACAGCATCAAACAAACGGCACGTGGAGGCCCAGGGCCTGGCAAACTGGCATTTGTAGCAGATTCCACGGAAAAAGTGCTTGGTCTATACTCTTCTTTGGGTGGTTTCCTCTTAAGCGAGTTAAGGGTGCATCCCACACACTACATCACTTTGCTCATAATTGGGGCTGCCATGCTTGCCCTTTGTCCTCAACCCCAGACTCCCTACAATCTCCATTGGCCCAGTCTTTTCAGGTTTATCCCTTCCACCTTTCTACCTGGGACTGTGACTCTTAAAACAAATACAGCCTGCCAGCTTACAAAAGAAAATTGCTGGTTAGTGTGGGTGTTTTGTAGTACACCCACAAAAATCACCATTTGGTGCTGCCAACTGATTTTGTGTGCTAAAACATGGCTGCCACTAATGTCACTTTGTGTGCACTGAGCATATGTGCTTTCTGCAGAAAGCACAGTTAAACATTACTTCCTTCATGCTGCACGTGCTCTGTGCAGGAAGAGCCACCCCATGAAAAAAGTAACATCAACAATCATTGCACAACTGTAGAAATACTCTCATTTTTACTTTCTTTTGTTGCAGGACACAGGCGATAAAGGATGGTGGAAAGGAGAATCAAATGGAAAGCAGGGACTCTTCCCAGATAATTTTGTGGTTTTGGTGTCAGAAACTGAACGAGAGGTACGTTTGTATTGTGTTTAAACAATTTGAGATGTTCTCCCCTCTATGAAAGGCGAGATATAAATGCAAATCATTGTTGCATTTATTATTGGGAAGACGGAAGGTTTCAGACCGAAGATGGACTAATTTGTTAGTTAATTATATAATAATAATAGTATAATAAATAATCCTTACTTTGGTACAACGCCTTCCATGTCAGGAGAAAGTCCAAAGCCCAAAGATATACTGTAACATCAAGTGTATTTTATAGATGACCCCCGCGCCAATTTGCACACAGTAATGGCCAACAAACAACCATGAAGTGATTGACAAATTTTATTTAGGGGATTCTTGGCTAGGACATCGGGAGAAACTACCTTCTCTTTTCAAATAAGTGCCAAGGGCTCTTTTGATTACTGGTTATTCCTGTCAAATTTGCTTGTGCATTCCTACCTCAACTTGTACATTTCTATTTTACTGCTACATTCACCTAATAGTTATCAATTATTCATGGTAACTTTTTAACAATGTTTAACGTACCACAAGATGGTACATTTTAGAACATTCATGTTTTCACATACGAAATATGGGAGATATTTTGTATATGACCATTATGAAGGGAACTGTAAAATAATTTTATAATACTACAATGTAGAATATTCCGAAACATTCTCGTAAAATGTTAAAATCAGCAGTTTCTGAAAATTGTTGATCTCCTCTCACCACTTTAGGGTTGAATATTAACATCTTTGATGGATAGAGAGCTGCTAGTTTTCCAGTTCTTCACTTTTTAAAAAAAAACTGCTGACACTGGATCATAGGTCCTTGTCCTTGTGCAGCTCAAATGTAACTCCAATAAGAAATCTACAATATACTTGTGGTTTCCTGATCTGGGTCATTGCACAATTCTGACTGCTTCCTATTTCAACCTCTAAGCTAGAAAAAGTAGTCATGTGTTATAATGTGAAATTTAGTCTGAGCAAGGGAAATTAAAAGGAAAACAATAACAACAAAATTACATTTATAGAGCGCCTTTCATGTCGGGAGGACGTCCCAAAGCACTGAACAGTCAGGTGTTGGGGCCCGAGCATGGGGGAGGGGTGTAGTAAGTGTGAGAGAAGGCAGAGAGGTTGGAGGGAGACCGAAGGCATGGTTGAAGAGAAAGAGATTGAGACTCCAATGCAGTACTGGTGGAAGTGCCATATTTGAGATGACCTTTAACAAGGTCCTGTTAAAGCAGATAACTGAACTTTGTTTTTCCTTTGACTGTTGTACAAAATTATATTGTTTTCTATTTTCAAATGTTTTATATGCATTACATCAGCTGCCGGAATCTTCCCATTAAAAATAAATACTAGTTTATGTTAAATAAATACCAGTTTATGTTAGTTATGGCTATAGCAGCTAAATGTTTGTTCTTCTTTAAGGTTATTGCTGCTCCCAAAGTTCCTGCAAAATTGCCTCCAAAACCAGAACACGATGATGTAAGTTACGTGTTTAACGATTAACATCTCATTATGATTTTCTGTCTTCAATTATTCCCCATGATGTGTACAGATAATCTATGGATTTTTACGAGAAAAGTATTTGAATGATCTGCAATACCCCTCATAGCACAAAAACAGCATCTGCCACACACCAAGTAATTGAGGTCTGCAGCACCAAGAGAACTTCCCCTTAATCAAGGAGGGAAGAACTTCCCCTTAATAATTTGCCTTACACTGTGCCACCAATACTTTAGGAAAAATCCACTGTGTGGTGCTGACATTTTAGCACGTAGGCTGGCTTCACTCATGATTCTGATAAGGACTTTATTTAAGACGGGGGTTCTGCTTGTCGCTCACTCATCTGTTTCTCTTGCCAAGCTGGCACAGACCTGCTGCGTGTCCCTCAATAACCTCCGCATTACCATCAGTGGCTGTACCTTTAGCTACTACACCCCTAATCTTTGGAACTCCCTGCCTCAATATCTCCGCCCTGCCTTCTCATTATCTACTCTTAAATCCCACTTTTGGAGCTACTTCTTCAACCGTGCCCATAGTCACCTCCCCACTTTCCCTTGCTCGGCATCTAAACCTGCTGTCGTGCAGTGCTCCCAGATGCTATGCTGCACAAATGGCGCCATGTAAAGGTAAATTGTTGACCATCATGACTCTTGCAGTAGGTATAAGACGTGGTTTACTCAAGGATCTCAGATTCCAGTACTGTACAAAAGAATGGTCTCACTTGAGGCTCTGACTCCAGTACTATATATAAGGTAGTTCTGTGTATGTCTGAGTGTTGTTTCCCAACAATATAATGCCAGAGTCCACAAAAAAATCTTAAATGAAGATTGTAGCTTTGATTTGCTCAATGTTTATGTACCGTTTGAACTTCAAAAGTATGTTGTTGTCAAATTCCAATGTGACTTTGTATTTTGTTATGTCAGGAAGCAATACTGTTATTTTGACATGCTTTCTCGTCAGAAATTTTATCAAAAGATTAAGAAAATAATAAATACATCAATTTGTCATTGTAAGCTTTCTTGGCAGAATATCCATATGTGGGATCCATGGCTGATTTTAATTCAAACATAGATCTTTGCTTTTTGGGGATGGAGAGGAGACTATGTCTCACATTGTTGTAAACCAATAATGATAGCAAATCTGATAACCAGCTTAATACTAGAAAAAAGTAACATTATTCAATGGGATTTCCTTTTTTTATGATTTCTTCAGTTTTTTGAAAACCTTTATGTTCATGCTGAACATGCTGAAAAAATCATGTTCTGCAAAGTGCCATTTTTTGCTTATATAGTAATAATTATATATTAAAAGGAAGTGTTAGCATACAAACACAGTCACTAGACTTTACAGTAAATCCTGTGAATGGCTTTATTGGAATGTTTTGACAACGTGGCAAAAATACTACGTTAATGCAAGGATTGTCATTTTATTGTTATAAAGTCAGATTGGAACCTTTTTTCTCATCTCTATTTAATTCTCTGTTTATTATTATCTCAAAACTCCCAAATTATTGGTTTTACACATTTGTTTTCTTTTCATAGAAACCAAAAAAGCCATTGGCCCCAGTGAAAATTGCAGGTATGTTATTTCTGCTGTTTTTTAGGTATTGTGTACAGTGGAGCCCCATTACAATGCAGTGATTGGAAATCATAAAACCCAACTCTATAATGAATCAGTTGCTGGTTTCACTGTGCATATTTGACATCAGAGTCATCAATTCTCTGATGTTGACAATTCCTGTTCTTGACATATGCCAACATGCAGGAAATGACATTGGTGGTGATGTGATAACCGCCTCATTCTTTGACATGATGTGTGAGAGAGAGCAGGAAAACTGATCTTTACAAGACAATGTAGATAAATATGGAAAGTGGGGTCTTATCTTTTTTTTCCTTGCAGTCCCCATTCTGCTGACCAGGTTTACATCTCCCTCTCTTTTCTGGATTCTCTTTTATTTATCTTTATCGTAGCCAGACACAGTTGTGAGACAGACAATGTGTTAGGATCGTTGCTATTCACCATATACATCAGGTGGTGAGGGCTGAATTTGAGAAATCTCCACAGGCCGCATCGGCAATATGTTTGTGTTTTCCTTCCAGAAACATAACCCATTAAGAATCATAATAATCCTTGCATTTGATATAGTGTCTTATCACGTCTTCTAGACGTCTCAAAACACTTCACAGAATATACTGTAAAGTGAATTTACTGTATATTTGTGGGTGATACGCTGCAGCCAGTTGTGTACAGCAGTGTCCCACAAACAGTCGTGGATTGAAGTGACCAATTTATTTTTGTGTTTTTTCTTGAAAGGATTATTGTCAGGCGTGTGGAGTAAGAAAACTTGCCCAAGGTTTCGCCCTGCTAGCAATCGAACCCAGGTCTCTCGCTTGCAAGGCAAATCCTCTAACAGCTGAGCTATAGGACTCCTGAATCATATAGAAATCCTATGTTTTAAATTGTGTAGCTGTATTACATAATTTCACTTTTTTTTAGTTACAATATGCAATGTAAAATTTTTACAAATTTTAAATCAATAAAACACTTTTATTGTTCTGTAGCTCAGTGGTTAGAGCACTTGCCTCACAAGTGAAAGGACCTGGGTTTGATTCCCAGCAGTGCAAAACCTTGGGCAAGTTTCCTTACTCCACACGCCTCCGTTTTCTAGTAGTAAGTAGGAACCCGGATGTTAGTTGATTAACTTATCGCTTTTCTGGGGATAATAATTCCTTCAAAAATAAATGTTAAAAAAAAATGTGGTCACTCAATCCATGATTGTTTGTGGGATGCTGCTGTGTGCAATTGGCTCCTGTGTTTTGCCCATGAAATATACTCACTTTACAGTATATTCTGTGAAGCGCTTTGATCCTTCTCAAAGACGTGATAAGGCTCTATGTCAAATGCAAGGATTATTATTTTATCAATAAAGTACATATTTGCAAGAATAATCATTAAATCCAGAGTAAACAATGAAACTGAAAGAAATAAGTGAATTAAAATGCACATAATTTAATAGCTCTAGTAATTAACAAAATAAAAACATTGGAAAATGTTTATCTTGAACCAGAATTCCAATGTCATCTATTTTCCATGTCTACCTTGTGTTTCTTACTGAGACACATAGTTCGGTAGGTTTAGAATTGCAAAACATGCAACAATACCTTTTTAAAATACTCTTGTTGTGCCTCTCTTCCCGTTGCTCACTGTGCTGCCTCTCACGAGAGTGTACAAGGAAGTGCCAAGATTGATGCGAGGAGGAGTAGTGCTGGAGGTTTAACAATGAAGTCGGAAATGGTTTGCAGGCTGGATGAAGTCATCCCCGGGCCTGATGTGGCCTGCAGGCCGCCAGTTAGATCACCCTGATGTACATATGTTATTTGGATTCAGGTATAGGAGGCGGTGTCAAAAGTTGTATTCTGGAGAGCATGATAAGTAGTGAATGGATTGCAAAAGCATGCAAGAAGACAAACAGCTGAGCAGAATGGGCACATAGATGGCAAATGAAGTTTAATGTAGGAAACTGAGAAGTATTGGCTGTTGATGCCCTATTTGGGAAACATCCGCAGGCCGCATAAGCAATATTTTTATTTCCCTTCCTTTCCAGAAACATAACATAACATTTGTGGGTTATGGAAAGAGTGGGTAGGCCAGATGAAATGGGAAGGGGGATGAAATTAGCCTGCAGGCCGCATTCGGCCTGTGGACCACCAGTTGGACCACCGTGAATGTAGGAATCTTAAGAGGAGTAGAGGAACAAAGCGTTCTGGGGATTCAGATCCACAAATTTCTGTAAGTAGCTACACAGGTGGATAAGGCTAAAAAAAAGGTCAATTGGGTCTTAGGCTTTATACCGAAAAGGATAAAGTATGAAAGTGAAGAGGTGATGTTCAATTTATACAGAAGCTTGGTAAGACCACATTTGGAGTATTGTGTCCATTTCTGGTCTCCACACTAAAAGAAGGATATAGCAATGATGAAAATAGTGCAGTGGAGGTTTATGAGAATGATACCATGGCTGGCTGGTATCGTCAGGGGAGGGATACTGGGTACTTGAAGAAACTTTTTTTTCCCACTTCACTCCTGTTACCCCTGCAAGTTTTAACCTTAATAGGTAGATTGGCTCGCGCCAGCGCCTCAGCCCCCCAGGCTCTGGCAGCATCAAGCCCCATGGTTGCACACTACAACTCACCAAGCCAGTCAGGTGTCTTGTTCGACCCTCAACTGACTTTTCTCCCCCGCATTCAAGCCATGACCCGCTCTGCCTTCCCTCACCTCTGTAACATCGCCCGACTCCGCCACTACCTCACCCCTCAGGTCGCTGAAACTCTTGTTCATGCTTCCATCACCTCCAGACTCGACTGTGCAAATGCCCTCCTTAATAATATATTAATAATAATAATAATCCTTGCATTTGATATAGCGCTTTTCACCGTCTTCTAGACGTCCCAAAGCGCTTCACAGAATATACTGTAAAGTGAATTGACTGCATATTTTTGGGCCTTCCCAACTCCTCACTCCACAGGCTGCAGATAATCCAGAACTCTGCAGCCCGTGTCCTCCCGCACCAAACTCTATGACTCCATCTCGCCCAACTCCATCTGGCCCAACCCTCTATCCTTCAGAGGATCCAGTTCAAGATCCTGGTTCTCACATACAAAGCCCTCCATGGCTTCGCCCCACCCTACCTCTGTGACCGCCTAACCCCCTACCAACCCGCCCGTTCCTTCCACTCAGCCGGTTCTGGCCTGCTCCACGTGCCCGACCCACCCGCCCCACGGGTGAGAGTGGCTGAAGCTGAGAGTCTTCAGACACTCTGCCCCCAACCTCTGGAATTCCATTCCCCAGTCGCTCCACCTCGTCCCCTCCTTAGCCTCCTTCAAGTCCCGTCTCAAGACCCTCCTCTTCGACCATACCATTGGCCACCACCTTCTGCCCCCCCCCCCCCCCCCCGACCCCAGCTCGGCTCTGAAATGCTGTACTCTGTCCAGCACCTTGGGACGTCCTCCCGACGTGAAAGACGCTATACAAATGTAATCTTGTTGTAGTCAGGCAAGCAGCAGGAAACTTGCCAGACAGTATTCATATTGACAATCAATGTGGTTTTAGCTTTAAGCTCTTAACAGTACTGCAACACTGGGGTGCTTGAAAAAAATCCCTGCAGTGAAAGCTCAACATATTTTAAAATCCTGGTCATTTTTTAAAATAATGGACAAACCTGAACTCCCAAGCCACAACCATTGCTACTGCCAGGACATGGGATTGGCTTAGTGCATGATTCCCTTTCCATCCCTCTGCAGAAAGCAGCGTTGGCTGCTGGATGGTGGTGTTGGTCTTCATGCATTCATTCATTTTTCATTCATACTTGGAAGCGGAGAGACATTCAGGTATATAAACATGTTGAACAACTAACTACCTCAATAACTCTTAAATGAATAGTAAGTCTGTAGAAACAATTTTCTTTTTTGGAAGCTGCATATCCCAATTTTACTTTTGGGTTGTTAGTCCAGTCATATCAAAACTTTCACATCGTTACATCAGAGTGAAGAAACGGGTGTATTGGCTATGTGATGCTTGTCTGAATTGTGATAGTTTGCAGTTTGTACAAATAGTTCACTCTTATATTCAAAGCTTATTTCAGTGCTGTCTGTTATTCTTATTTTTTACAATATAATAACTGTGTTGCATGTTTTTTAAACAAAATTAGGAACTTCTTTTGGGTTAGTGGGTAGGAAAACTGGAAAAAAAAGCTCCAATAGTCTAAAACATAATTGTACGTTGTACTTTGAACTACTATCAGTTTAGGAAATGTTAAATTGTATTACTAATTGAGAACTTAAACACTGTATGTGGGCTGCAAATGATATCCTCTGCTCTGCCGTACTGGTTTCTGTTTCAGGACCTAAGCCTTCATTTAAAAAAAGTCTAAAGCATTAAATACAGGATTTGAAATGCTGTTGTTGGTTGAAAAGTGTACATGAATACAATTTATATTGTAGCTTTAAAATTAATGAAATTCAGTTCAACAATTTTTAAAAAAAAATATTTTGATTGATATTCAAACTCCTTTTGGTAGTTCTGAGTATGAGAGCTAGTTTGCAATTGATACTGTTTTGTTTTATCGTAGATTTCTTTTTTGTAATTGGTGAAAATTGCCTGAATATTGTTACTGTTTAAATTGTACAGTGGAATGGAGCATACAGCTAATGTTTCTTGGCAAAACATTTTTTTTAAATTCCTGCCTTTTAATTTCCTTTGGCTTCTGTATTATGCATGAAACAGGAAGTTAACAATGCTCAGAGCATGGAGATTACGAAGTTACGACTGCTCTGATAAGAATTAGTGTCATTACTTGAAGCCACCACAACTGAAGAAGCCTCAATGGAACAAACTCCAATCTAAAATGTTGCATTTTACAGCTTCAAAACCTGAACCTTCACCGGCCGAAAAGAAACACGATTTAAAGAAGCCACAGCTAGATAGACCTGAGCCCCTTTCTTCGAAGGTTGATGAAAAAGGTGAGACTTATGGTTTAATTTGGTATGTAAAGGGACTTTTATCTTGACTACAAACTTTATTTGATGAAATTGGGATGGCCAACAATTAATACCAAAAAATCAAATACTCTGTTCTGTAATTCCTATCTATTTTGGAATGTCAGCAATGTATTGTTTATTCTGTAATAGGAGTCCTGAAACTTCCATTGTTGTGACTGCTCAAAACGCACTGGAAGTATTCAATTGAGCAACGAAAAACAAACTTCTTAAATTTTATTGCAAGTGTGCATCAAGTGTCTAGAACAACAACAAGATTGCATTTATAGAGCGCCTTTCACGTCGGGAGGACGTCCCAAGGCGCTGGACAGTTGGGTTGGGACCTGAGCAAGGGAGAAATGGTCAGGGTGAGGGGAGGGAAGGGAGGGAGCGAGGAGGGGGTAGAGAGTTGAGAGGGGAGCTGAAGGCACGGTTGAAGAGAAAGGTCTTGAGACCGGCCTTGAAGGAGGAAAGGGAGGAGGCAAGGCAAAGGCACTGGGGGATAGAGTTCCAGAGCCTAGAGGCTGAAAGCCCGGCCACCGATGGTAGGGTGGTTAGGGCGGGGGATGTGGAGCAGACCGGAGCCAGAGGAACGGAGGGTATGGGCGGGTACGTGGGGGGATAGTAGGTCGGAGAGGTAGGGGGGTGCAAGGCCGTGAATGGCCTTGTAGGTGAGGATGAGGATCTTGAATATGTTTAGTTTAAACAACAAAGTTGAGAGAAGGTAGAATTCCTGGCTTGTTAAATTGTTTTGTTGATCTCCAGTTTTCCAGAAAAATAATGATTCTGCTCACTTTGCTTTTGTTTACCCTGAAAGCCAAAGCTCTAAATTGTAGGGCAGTCTTATCTGAACAAACAACTGAACTGTATTTGCAATGGTAGGCTTCATAGATTTTAGTGGTTAAACTCCAGTAGTTCCCAAAAGCATAATCTGGGATCCCCAAGCTTTTGGTGTTGTCAACTTGCATCTAATACATTCTGAGATTAGATCAGCAGGGTGCGTACCTCGGAGAGAATGTACATTCCATTCCAAACAAAGGGACATTTGCCAACATATGTGGAACTCTAAGTAGTTTGGTTTGGATATTCTTAAAAATAATAATAAACCTTACATTTGGCATAGCACCTTTCCTTTCGGGAGGAGTCCCAGAGCGCTTCACAAGATAAACTGCAAATTATAATGACTGTTTTTGGTCTTCGTGGTGAACATGGCAGTCGATTTGAGCATAACAATATCCCACAAACAGCCATGGAGTATGTGACTAATTTTATCTGGGATACTGTTGGGCAGGACACCAAGAGAAATTTCTTACTCTTTTCGAAAAGTGCTGTGGGATTTTTACCGTCCACTTGTACAGGCATACTTTGGTTTCATCCGATGGACAGTTTTTTGAGGAAGGATAGACCTTTCTCTAGCAGATCTTTTAAACGTTTTGAGGAAGTGATATCCAAATTGAAAGGGAGAAGGTACATACCTAGGCTTAAAGAAAAACTTTTCATGAAGTACCACACTGGAGTTGAGACTCCTCCAAACTGAAGTCCATGGTATCAAAGGTTGAATGTCAATTGGTAATTCAATAAAGGAAAGGAAGCGGAGGGTGCTTGTAAAGAGTAGCTAGGTGGAAATGTGTGAGCCCAGAACCTAATAATATCAAACAATTGACAAACAAAGTGAGGTCCCTCAAACAACCAGCCGTCAGTATTTGACAGATTAATCTGAAGGATTATTGGCCAGGACAGCAGAAGAAACATGCTCTCTTTTCGAATTCTATAGTATGTTTTAAAATTAAGCAGAATAGGCAGAACATCAATTTAATGTTTCATCTGAAGTACAGCACGACTGACAATTCAGCATCTCCCCAACACTACAATGGAGAGTCATCCTAAACTATGAGCACAAGTACCCACGCAAGATTTGAAACCATAACCTTTTGACCCACATACAGGTTTTCTGCCAAAAAAAACATACCGACAACTTCAGTACATTTTTTGTTGATTTAATTCAAAAATAGCATCCAACCAATCCTAAACCTGTGTATGAAAAAACACTTTCTGGCATTTGATTTATAAATTAACAATTTTTTTCATGTTGATCGGTCAAACTCCATTTAGTAAGGATTTTTAGAAGGAAATCAATTCACACCACTACAACATAAATGCAACAGGCAGCACTGTAATCAACCTCAGCATCCAGTTGATCCTCAGCTTCCTCACATTCACTCCTTGACCAAGACTGCTTTTCTTCACCTTCAGTAAATTCCCCCCACCCCTATGACTTCAGATGCTGGCAAAACTCTTATACCTTTGTTATCTCCCACTTAGATTTTTTAAACTCACTCCTTGTCGGTCTCCCTAGCTAAACCATTCATAAACTAATAATTCATAACTAATTAATAAGAAACAAGCAATCCATTATTGAAAGAAAGGTGGAAAGTTGAGAAAATGCATTGATATACTGGTGGTGTCATGATTATGTGATGTGCCAAGAACAGGTCAGGAAGTGGTTTAATCATTGCAGTACAATATGGGGGGTGGGGGCAATATTAAGAACTTGAAGTTTACCTTAGTTTACCAGAAATACTCTTACTTTCTTTCCTGAAAGAAGGCAAACGTTTGGGGGATTGGATTGTATAAAATGTTAATGCTCTTGTGCCCACCCATTTTGCTTTCCTTACAGTTTAAGGCCTGTGTTATGAAATGAAACATTGCCGTTTTGTTTAATTAGGCTGATTTCAAAAGTGATATGGCCAGGAAGTGGATTGTTTAGACCCAAATAAAATAGCTTCAAAGATAACAATTTGAATCCATGTACATGCAATCCTAACAGATATAGATTTTGTAGCATATTCTAATGTACTCTTACAAAGGACCACTTTTATGCTTTAGGATAAATATCTCTATACCATAGGGTTTCTCCCTTCTGGAAATTAAAAAGTACCCTAAAGAGATGAATGTTGTCCCATTCTAACTCCTCACCCCCAATTCCCAGATTTGGCTTACCCATATCCAAATTGATTCTTCCCTCCTATGTGTCATTGCCTAAAAAAGACCTCAGAAAATTTCTCTTGAACTATGCCTTTAGTAATTTATCATTCTCTAATTTCCAACATCAACATTACATTTGTCACACTATATGGCTCAGTTGGCTGAGTCAGAAGATTGTGGGTTGGGACTTGGAACACATAGAATCTAAGATGATACTATTCCAGTGCTGGAGATGTGCTTTGCCTTGTAGGCAGTGCGACCTCCCCTCCCGCCCCCCCCCCCCCACCCCAGAGCTCATGGACTAGAAGGTCATCAGACGGTTCTTGAAGGAGGCAAAGGAAGGACGAAGTAAAGGGACTCTGGAATGGCAGGGGACATGAAGCAGACCAGCTGAATGGCAGAACCAGGAAGATTTGTAGGGTTTTAGAAGATCCCGGCGAGCAGAAAGTTTGCACCTGCTAATGGTCTTGTTGGCCCAAGAGGAGAGAGAATACCAGAGGTGGGCAATGTAGCGGATGTAGGAAAACCTGAACTTGTCAGAGCATGACATGGGGTTTGAAGGACAGTTGAGAATCGAACAAGACATCGAGGTTCCGCAATTGCTCTGTGAGGTGGAGTGTAAACTTGAATTTTGTGTTGATTTAATTTGAAATTATGATGATTTAATGTAGGTCTATAAAATCACAGAAAATGGGAAAAATGCAAATAATTTACTAATTAAACTTGCTGAAAGAATGTAAGTATTTAATTGGTTAATTACCAAATGAAACCATGCAATCTATCATATCTATTATGTGGCACATTTCATTTTTGCAAATGCTTAAACATTTACATTTTCATATATTGTTTTTTCACTTATTGCGGCAAACATAAACCCAGCAAGTATAAATTATGCACTTTACACATCTCTTTCCATTATGAGAGTTCGTGACTGGACTCTTTCTGCCTCCTCGTCCTCCTTGACCTCTCTGCTGCCTTCGACACCATTGACCACTCTATCCTCATTCCACTACCTCTTCTCTCACCTCAATCTTCACGGCTCTGTCCTTGACTGGTTCAGATCATATCTTTCACACCGCCTCCACTTCATCTCCACAAACGGTTTCTCTTCTAGCCCCCGCACCATCTCGTGCAACGTTCCTCAGGGCTCTGTCTTTGGTCCTCAATGTCACAAATAAATATCAGAAATTATATGAGATAGCCTTGTTTTTAAAAAAAAATTGGAACACGTTGTTAGCAAAAACACATTTAATTGATACCTTAACAAGCTAGATTCATGAGGTCTAGGCAAACAGCAAAATACAGATATTTCTGTGTACATCTTTATTGCTCTAAAGTAATGCTCAAAGGAGGTGTAGAAATCAAATTAGTCTCAGCAACCAATATGAAAACATGTAGGATTAACACTCAGGATTAACTGACAGAAGGACTCCACTGAGAAATTTGCATGCACATAAATGACAACATATTCTCTAATCTCTTCTGCCTTTTCATTGCTGATTGATTCTTCACAGTGGTTCTGCTGATTCTTTGCTGATCAGTGAACATTTCAAATTGGAATAAAGGTAATAGGTACAATCAGGACAGATTTATGAGGCAGCTTTTGAGTTCTAATTTTCTTGTCAGTAATCAGAGAAGTGGATAGTTTTAGTGAAGCAGCTAAATGATAGGTATAGAGAAATATTTCATGAAGAAGGAGGCCCAGTAATATAAACAGGATTGGTCCCGTGAGATAAAAGGTAACGATTGTTAGAAAGAAGTTACATCGTATTACATAGAATATGCAGCACAGAAACAGGCCATTCGGCCCAACTGGTCTATGCTGGCGTTTATGCTCCACATGAGCCAAGTTGAATTTAACCCTATATCAAATCTCAGTTTACAACTTGAACCTATTTAAAATGGCAGTGTCCACATATGGATGTGTGCTATTGCATTTGTTGCTCCCTCTGAAACCTTCTATTTGTTTACTCCATTAACTCTTTCAGACGGTGAGGAAAATGTTTCTAAGTTTGATATGCATATAGCATCTGCCATAATGCATATACTTAGATTACATGTATATGAAGATTGCTCAGTCTTTTCATTCATTTTAAATATCTTGTTCAGTAACATTTATTGCCATTGTAAATGGATTGATTCCCAAACTATCCTTGCAACTTTGATTGTTGACTGCATATAATGTATCGTCTCTGGATAAATTAGGTCCTTGCATTTCTGTGATCTTTTCATAGTGGAGCAAATGCTGTTTCCTGTTGTATGTACAATAGTCTAGTCAAATAAAAACCAATGCTGCTGCAATTCAAACTCATGGAATATATGTGCTTATGTTAAAATGGGTTACAAAGAGGTTATGTATATTCTGTGACTTCCACTACCGAAAACATCAAAGTGGAGTAAAATACCCATAAAATCCCCATAGCTATATGATACCCACAAAACCTCAATATGTATGTAACTTTACTGCTTGCAAACTTATTTCTTTGCATTAGCTTCCTGACACAGGAAGTAAGTGAACCACTTTCATTTAATTGTGTTATAAAATTCTGTTTCTGTAATCATACATAAAAAATAAAATAAAATAAATTGAGGTCACAGATTATTAGGTTAGTGTAAATTTAATTGTTTTTTTAAAAATGTACTGTACAAAGAGCAACAGTTCAGTCTGAAGATGTAACCCACCTAAATAAAACCATTCACCCAACCTTCAATCCCCTATATCATTTTTAAAAGGGAACAAGATAGATAATTGAAAAAGAAATCTTAAAATGTGTGGTGAATGAGTGGGAAAAAATAAAGCGTTTCATGTAGAGAAAAATACCCAAGCACACTTCGTGGTCTGATTGTATGGAAACAAATGGCCTGAATCGATGGAAACATGATATGACTCTTTGAAAGACTAAACAGTATTATTATCATTTATTGAGAAAGTATACCCAGAATAATAAGTAAAGATATGCCAATACAGCAGGATGTGTTAGCAAAGTTCTCTGAATACACAGAAGATAATCCACAGCTGGATTGGCATTCCGCAGCCAGGAAAGGATAGTAGAGGCCAAGACACTGCTCTTTTAAGAAATAGCTGAATACTGTAATGGGAAGAGCAGGATAGCTAACCTTTTATGATTCTATAAATGTGAAATTTACAAGTATTTTTCCCTACACAGATGATCACAGGCCTGTTAAAGCAGCTGCTCCAGCAGTACCACCCAAAAAACCAATTATTCCACTGAAGGGTAACTCGGCAATGAGGTTGGCAATTCCTCCCAAGCGACCAGAGAAACCTCTACTACCGCCTCCTTTAGCCAAGTAAGAGAATTATTTTACTTACAGGGCTAACCACTGAACTACAGGACTCCTACTTAGAGATAGAAAACACCTCTAAATTGTTTACTTTAAAAAATTAATTTTTGACTGACCGCAAATGTAAGCCAAACAATTGTGAAGGAAGTAATCATGATTGGACATGTTAAATTTCCCTTCAGGGAGGGAATGAAAATATAATGGGAAATATATGGTAAACTGTGATAAATTGTAGGTAACTGTCTCAAGTACAATATTCACACTTTGTAGAGGAGGATTGTACTTAAATCAGATTTTTGAATGTGTCCTGAACTTGTTTGAACCACATAATAATGTATAAGATTTAAAGAGATGAATTTACAAAAGAGCTTTTTATAGAATCATAGAAAAGAGGCATAGGAGATAAACAATAAATAATAATCCTTATATTTGATAGTGAAATGCGGCAGCCAATTGCGCACAGCAACGTCCCACAAAACGTCATGCATTTTGACCAAATTATTATTTTTTTTCTTGAGGGATTATTATCAGGCATGTGGAGTAAGGAAACTTTTTTATTGCATTTGAGATGCCCAATTGGCTCTTTTTTATTCACATGAACATGAAAGCAAATAATATATTCGCATATATGATTGTAGAGAGAATATAAATAATATTTCTGCATTCCTCTTAAATAGAGCAAATGGAGAGGTGCCTTATAATCGACCAAAGTCGGACATTGAGCCATCAATTCTTAGACCAAAACACGAGTCGGAATCATCACATTTTCGACCAAAATCGATGGGGAGTGCACTGCTGGATAAAGCTCTTGAAATAGGTAAGAATACAAGTAGCTTTTGAATGTAAAATGCAAGTAGCTTTTAAATGCATCAAACATTTAATGATTGAAAGGAAAACCCAGGCTGCTGGAAGTCTGAAAGCAAACCAGAAAATGTTAAAAATAGTCAGGAGGTCAATAATTAGCACCTAAAAGAGAAAGATAACTTCATATTTTGGGTGGGAGCATTCAGAAATGGAATGGTTGGGTTGGAAAAGTTGCTCTACAGGATAAAGGAAGGCAAGCAGCATTAATTCAGGAAAACAAAGATAATTAGGAGAAATGTAATCACAAAGGCAGCTCTGTTGATGGAGTGGATAGAGCTAATAATAAAAATAAACAATCCTTATATTTGATATAGCGTTTTTCACGTCTTCTAGACTTTTCAAAGCGTTTCACAGAATATACTGTAAAATGAATTGACTGTATATTTATGGGCGAAACGCGGCAGCCAGTTGCGCACAGCAGTGTCCCACAAACAGTTGTGGATTGAGTGACCAAATTATTATTGTTTTTTCTTGAGGGATTATTATCAGATGTGCGTAGTAAGGAAACTTGCCCAAGGTTTCTCCCTGCTGGGAATCAAACCCAGGTCTCTCGCTTTCGAGGCGAGTGCTCTAACCACGGAACTACAGGACTCCTACTTAGAGCTGCAGTTCATAGACTGGGAGCTCGCTGGAGGCTGGTATCTGTCCTAAAATTGCCCATTACAATTCTAAACCTACGTCCTCTTGTTCTACTGTCAAGATACATCCTAAACTAATGATCTGGGGTTACTTTTTCAATCCCATTTAAAATGTTATACACGTCTATGAGATCTCTTCTGAGTCATCTTCTCTCGACTGAATATTGATGCTCATTGTTCATTTCATTCTGAAACTTTGCAATGCATTATATTTGCCTTATGAGGAAACTAGTGCTGGGCCATGCTTCACTATTTTCAAGACTGACTCTGTTATAATGTTGGGTTGCTCTGATTGGGTAACCTGCCACTTTAACAGTCATATTTACTATATTGTTGAATACTGCAGAGTACCTCCAATTGACAGATTAGCTCTAGGGTTGGGGGTGGTATGTCTCATCTAGAATAATTACAGCTCCAGCAATCAATGAAACAATTCTACTGGATTCCACCCTGAAAGTGAAGGGCCTGACTTATGTGTTGTTTTTTGGTCAGCCGGGTGTCTGACACATGCGGAAACCCATCACTCTGCTTGAGAATATCCAAACTGAGATTTCCATGCATCCCACCTACATATGGAAATCCCAGAGATAGATTGTTGGCACGGGATGCACTCCTACTTACCTAATTCCAGAAAGTATTAGGTGCAATAGCCAAGGCTTGAGGACCCCAGTGTGTGTTGGGACACTGCTGGAGTCTAACCAGCTAAAACCGCATAGCTTGCCATTGATATTGCTGTTTGGCAAGCTTTCTCTCTGCTTGTCCAGCTAGGCCCACCCTACCAGTTAGGGCTTTGGCTTGCAGGGTTAACAGAAGGTGAGTGGGATGACCCCCTGCCAGCAGTGACTGGTCGGTTCTTTTAGGTCCTGCCGATGACTGGCTGGCTTTGGCTGCCCTGGAATAGTGCAGACCCGCTTGGCTCAGCAACCGAACTGCCGAGACTCCCATAGATAGTTGACTCGATTCCGGCATTCCATTGCCAGACATGTCACCTTGCAGGCGGGTTCAGCTCCAAGGAGACCCCACTTACCTGACTTACAGCTGAACTGAACTGAAAGAAACTGAAAGAGGATGCAGATAGTGTAGGGGATTGAGTTGAGTGAGCCAATAGAAAGAGCCAATAGAAAAATCTACAAATCCTTTGTAGATTTGTTTTACCTGCTGTGTATCTTGTCCTCAACTGAATGGGTCACATATTTCCCTCCCACCCCACCCGGGCCCCCCCATAAGCTTTGTAAATCTTACTTTGAAAAGCTTGCTTTTAATTTTCGTGTGATCTATTTTGAAACATCATCTTTATGTTTACTTTAGCTACACTGAAGAATTTATCTTCCAAACTCCGATAACTTTTTCAAAAAATGGATTCCCATTTATCCTTGATAATTCTTTCCTTGAATAGTCTCATTATCCATCCCCAGTCTATACTGAGATCCGATTCCTTAATCTATGGAAGACAGATTTATGGCAATGTTAGAATTCTGCTAATAGATCTTATTCTTATGTTTTAAATTACAGATTTAATAATGATTTAAAACAAATCTGAGAATTGAGTTTCAAAAGATTAGTACAGTACTTGATGCTGTTTGTTCTGTTGATCTGATTATTTTAGCACTTCACTGAAGCTAGCCTTTGATCTACATGACACACAACAGATGTTTGTTCTTGTGTATTTATTCAACAGATCAGTACTCAAATATCGAATCTGTGGGGAATTTCTCACTATAATTGCAAGTGTTTTTCCTGAGCTTTTGTTGTATTTTATAACAAGCCATTCTGATTGGAAGTTCGGAAGGAATAATAATTTTTTTGTTTCTAATGTAGATTTGATGGGTTTTGACGCTGTGGAATCTTCAAGTAACAAACTCTCCCACCTTACAACTAGCAGGCCGAAGATGCCAAGGAGAAGGCCGCCTACTCTTTTTTGTGGCAGTCCTTCAGTGAGTTCTCCCTCCTGTTTTAAACCAGTATACAAAAGTATAAATACACGTGTGTGAGTGTGCCGGCTTCCCATGTTTGAGAACAGTTGATATTTGGGTTGTGTGATGTCAGTAGCACTTTCTGCTCATATGGCAGTGCACAGGAGTGACGTTATAGTGCTCTCTGTACATAGTGATGTGTATATACAATGTTTGGAAAGTCACCGGCGACACATTCTGTCCAGCACCTTGGGACATCTTCCCGGCGTGAAAGACGCTATACATATGTAAATTGTTGTTGTTGTTGACCCAACAACCTGGAAGTTGGCCCTTTTTTCATGCTGCACTTATAATGTGAGCGCTGAGACATTAGACCTCACTATTAACAAGGTTTGCCTATATATCCACAAGCAGAAGAAAGAAAATGAGGTCTAATCTAGGAAACCAATCTAGGAATGTAAAGTACTGGAAAGCAGCATTCTGTCTGCAAATAAACCTGACCATCAAAGATGCAAGGGAATTACTTAGGCCATGTAGAAGTGGAATATTTTCCAATTGCTGGCAATCTCTCTATTATAATTCTAACTATAATTCTTTATAATTGCAGGGAAAGGTATGGATAATTAAATAAGGTGGAAGCTGCTTTAGCCGGACGCCAGTTAACCCAAGACGCCTGGTCCTGATTCATTTGTATTCTTACTTGTTTTAAATATGCCGGTTAATTCGGAAAAAAATCTGCAGCTATTCATTCGCCGCCAGCAATTGCAATTTGATTCCTCCTATTTCGATCCTGCTCGTGAGGAGTGGGTAGATTAACGGTGACTAGCGTGCCATATTCAGCGCCTCGGGACGTCCTCCCGACGTGAAAGGCGCTCTATAAATGGAATCTTGTTGTTGTTGTTGTTGTTGGTAAAACATTTTCAAAACATTGATTTTTAAATGGCCATTCTCAGAAATATTTTTCTTTCAATAATTTTGTTTAAATTCCTATCTTGGTATTCAGGCTTTGGATGAAAGTCATTCGAACAGAAATTCTAAAGTGATTGAAGAGGAGGAAGAAGAAGAAGAAGAGAAAGAAGAAGAAGCTGCCAAACCAAAGTCATCCACCATCAATAAAAAGGTATAGTTTGTTATCTCCTAAGCAAATCTCCAGGTCAAAGTTGTGGGCCAAGCTCCAGGTTGGAATTTCAAACTCTTAGTCCAAAGTGACCATCCAATGGTGTGCTGATGTAGTGCAGCATTGTTGAAGGACTGTGCAGTCCCTCAGGTGAGGTGATAAACCAAGGTTCCGTCTGCCTGTTCAGATGAGTATTAAATATCTTGCGGTACTATTTGAAAAGAGAAAGGAGATTCTGTGGGGTCCTGGCCAACAGTCCCATTAATAAGATTCACTTCATGGTTCATGTGTTGTCAGGTGAAGTTACCGAATCAGTAGTGTAATAACTAGCCTGTATTTATTAGAAAATAAAATTCTGCTTTTTATAAAATACTTTTTTCAGGCTTTGGGCGAGAGTCATTTTGAAAGAAGTTCTAAAGTGAAAGAAGAAGAAACTGCCAAGCCAAAGCCGAGTATCAAAAAGGTCTGAATTTTTTATTTTTTTGTATGTTATACAGTTATACAGCTGGTTACAGTGGTTATACAGCTTTCTATGTTTCCATTATCAGTTAATAAACAAAGATGTTTACTTTTGGACCTTTCTCAACATAAAGTTGGGTATCACTTTACCCATAAGCCCTGAGAAGTTATATAAGATTCTTAATATACACCTGAACAGGCTATTGTACAGTAAAACTCACATAAGTCTTAACAGAACAGCACATTTAATATGGCTTACACAACTTCTGAGTTCCAGTCAAACTATAAATTGTTGAAAATCAGATTTAAACAATAATCCACACAGCACATTCAATGTAGCCGGTAAGTGAGCAGGCGGTGAAGGCTCAAGACTACGTTTCCTGCAATTCAATGCTTGACTCCTGTGAGTGCCTCCTCACCTCAGGCGCTGACAGCATCACTGTTCATGGATGCACTCTCCACCTCAGAGATCCAGTACGCAACCTTGGTGTTTTGTTCGACACTCAACTGCCTTTGAAAACCCACATCTGTGCCATGAACACACCTGTCTTCCCCACCTCTGCAACATCGCCCACCTCCCGGCACCACCTCTTCCCTCAGGCCGCTGAGACCCTCATCCATGCTTTTATAATATCCAGGCTTGCCCTTTAGAACTCCATCCCATAGTCCCTTTGTTTTGCTCCCTCGCTTACCTCTTTCAAAGCACGTCTCAAGACCCTCCTCTTTGACTGCACATTTGACCACCCCCCTACCCTCCTTTCCCTCCACCCACTTTGCTCCCAATCCCCTACTCGGGTTCATATCCCTGACTGTCCAACGCCTTGGGACAAGCCCCTGACGTGAAAGACGCTTTACAAATATAACTTGTTGTTGTTGGCCACCTCTCCATTGCCTCTGCCCTCAGGGTGCCAAGACCCTCATCCATGCTTTCATCATGTCTGGGCTTGAATACGTTAATTCCCTGCTTGTAGGACTTCCCAACATTTCCCTCCCCACAATGCAGATTAGTCAGAGCTCTGGAGCTCGTGTCCTCTCCTGCACTATACTCCTGGAGCTGATCACCCCCAAGCTGGCCCTCCTTCCCTGGCTCCCCATTCCCCAGAGGATTGAGTTTAAAATCCTCGTTCTCTCTTTTAAAGCCCTGGAAGGCCTTGCTGCTCCCAACCTCAGTGAACTACTAAAACCATACTAACCCCACGTGAAGGATGCAATATAAATGCAAGTTGTTGTTGTTGTAACCTGCCCACTCCCTCCTCTTGGCAGGCACTGGCCAGCTCTGTGTCCCCTGCCATGCCCACTTTAGTATCGGTGGTCAGGCCTCAGGACTTTCTTCCCCCACCCTCTGGAACTCCAACCTGAATACCTCCGCCTTTCCTCCCTTGCCTCCTTCAAGGCCCCTCTCAAGAGCTTTCTCATCCTCCCACCCCGATCCCCTTTGATCTCCATATGCTTGACTGTCCAGTACCTTGGGACTTCATCCCAACGTGAAAGGCAATCTATAACTGCAATTTGTTGTTGATGTTGTTGTACATTTCCCTTTAAGTAGAGTTGAACAGTATATCTAAAAAAAAGTTTTGTACAGTTTAGCATAAGAAAATATAACATTTGTAAATAGTGCTGCAGTAAACATACTCAGACACATGAAATCACAGAATTAGTAAAGTTGTGAATGACTTGCACTTCTCAGGAAATGAGATTTTGTTTCTTTATGAAACTCCTACGCTGTTTTTCAGTCTTTGGGTGAGAGTCATTTGGATAGAAGTTCTAAAGTGATTGAAGTAGAAGAAACTGCCAAACCAAAGCTGCCCAACAGTATTAAAAAGGTATAGTTTTGTTTGTTGAAGAGCTCCGAGAAGCTACCTGGCATGAAGCGCACTATATAAATGCAAGTTGTTGTTATTTGCTACATCATGTACAAATAACACTTCTGCAGTTTTCCACTTTCCATAGAGTTATTCGAGATTTTCTCTCAGCAAACTAATTTTATCAGTGTCACTTTTATATTTCTAGCTCAGTATTGGTATTTTTACAATTCAATGCTGAGGAGTTGGAACCCTGGCTGATCTGTGGTGTGGGGGTGGGGAGCAAAGAGACATGTGAATGCATATATCTTTCTGTCTGCAAAGCAGTTCAGTCTGAAGATTGGTGCGTCAGTCTGGCTCAGTTGGTAACTTTGGTTACACTCTTGCCTCTGAGTCAAAAGGTTGTAGGTTCAAGGCCCATTATGGACTTTGAGACTTTGAATTCATATAGTCTAGAGACCCTAGACTGACACTGCAATTTAGTGCTGGGATGCACTGCATTGTTGGAGGTTCCAACTTTCGGGTGAGACATTAAACAGAGACCGTGCTTGTCTATTCAGGGGGACTTTAGAGGTCCCATGGTACAATTGGAAAAGAGTAGAGAGTTTCTCCTGGTGTCCTGGCCAATAATCCCCCAGATAAAATTTGTCATTCATAGCTGTTTGTGGGATATTGCTGTACATAAATTGGCTGCTGACTAACCTATAAATGCAATTACTAAGAAAGAGCTCGAACAATTACAAATGTAATTACAAATGCAGGCTCCAACACTGTCTCACACCGCAGACCACTGAAACCCTCATACACGACTTCGTTACATCGAGGCATTATGCAAACTCACTGCTTGTCGGCCTCCCCAACTCCTCCCTCCACAGACTGCAGATCATCCAGAACTCTGCAGCTCATGTCATTCCCGCACTAGGCTCCGTGACCCTATCACCCCCATCCTTGCCCAAATCTACTGGCTTCCCATCACACAGAGGATACAGTTCAAGATCCTGGTCCTCACCTTCAAAGCCCTCCACGGTCTTGCTCCCCCCTATCTCTCCGACCTCCTAACCCCCTACCTCCCTGTTTGCTCCCTCCGCTCAGCGGGCTCCAGGCTGCTTCACATCTCCTGCCTTGCTCGTCCTACTATCAGCAGACGGGTCTTCCGCCACTCTGCACCCACCCTATCGAACTCCATCCCGCAGTCCCTCCGTCTCCTTTGCCACATTCAAGACCCACCTCAAGACCCTCCTCTTCGAACGTGCTTTCGATCTATCTGCCTCAGCTCGGTTCCGTAACTCTGTCTGTTCAGTGCCTTGGGACATCCTTCCGACAAGAAAGGCACTATACAAGTGTAATTTTGTTGTTGTTGTACTATAAAGTAATTCCTATGAAGTGCTTTGAGATGTCCTACTGACGTGAAAGGTGCTAATGAATTGCAAAGTTTATTATCATTATTATTTCTTTCATTTAATACCTAATAAATATCTTCCATGAGCAGAGTAAAAAAATTTTTGGGTGATTGGATGTGTCTGGGAGAGATAGTTGGGCAATGTAATAACATTACTTTCTCTTTTGTTCCAGCCAACATTGAAACAAAATGTTGGCCCAGAGAATGCTGTTGACGTAAAAGATGCAGTTGAAGTGGACAATGAGAACAGAAGTGATTTGGAAGATCTTAAGGCACAAATCACTGATCTGGTGACTGTTGTTGAGCAGCTCAAGTCCCAGCACAAGTAATCTATTTTAGATTTGTATGATTTTAAACTGTATTTCCACGTGTTTTTAATATACTCCAATGTAATTTACTTACACTTCACTTAGGAGGCTAAACTTTCCCTTTCTCTACTTCTCTAAATCACGTTAATAAACATCCCAGACCCCTCTATACCTTCAACCACTGCACCGCTAACCATCCTTAGATTCCACCTTCAGAGCTCCCTCTGCCTCTGGAAACCTCTCCGTTCTCCCTTGCACTGTGAAGGACATTATATAAATGCAAGTTATCGATGTATCTGTTGTTTCCTGTACTATCCCATTATGAATTTCAAAATGTTTTGACATATTGACAAGATAAACAAACAGATCTGGCATACTTTTATAATCTCTTTATATTTTCCTGGTTATTTTTCCCTTCAATTGTTTTTGTTTCTGTTTTTTCCTGTATTTTGTTTGGGCAGCATGGTCTGATAAATGCAGAAACCCATCACCATGCTTAAGAGCACCCAAACCAGACTGAGTGTTCCATGACCGCCACCTAAACATGGAGATTCCTGGAATGGATGGGAACAATCTTCCGATTTTTCTTGTTATCACCTCCAATGTCCCTCCATCCCTTTTGCATTTGGGAATTTGCTTTTTTTTTATCTGTAATAACCAGCTGCTCTTTCCTGACTGTGACTGAATCTTCATTGTCTTTTAGTGATGTTTGATAACATTGTGTAGATGATTTTAATTGTTCATAATGTCTTTTATTTACATCTTATGCCTATTGAATGTGCTCTATTTGTAATTCAAAGCTATTATTTTATGTATTGTCTGCAGGAAAGAATTGAATGAATTGAGGAATGATTTGGAGGATGAAAAGAAGAAACGTGCTGCCTTACAGGTAAAACATTTGGAAAAATATATTTTAAAAACCTGCTACTGTACGCAGCTCTATGTAATGAGGCTATGCTTAAATTTGAATGGTGGCCGTGTGTGCAGTTGCACTTTCCTGCTGTTCTTGAAACTGCTGATCCAGATTTCTTGCCAATTCACCCATAATATTTATATTTAAAAATATACATTCAGGGAGTCTTATTATGTATAATTTAAGAAATATCTGAACCATTTTTTGCTGTATTTTTTTTCCTATGCACTACTATTTTTTAAAATATATTATTTAGCATTTTCCTTCTTTCTCCAGGTGTCCCCTCTCTCTCTTTCTCTCTGTGTTACACACATCACACTCACATCACACACAGGGCCAGCCCTTTTTCTCTCTCTCTCTCACACACACACACACAAATAGCAAACACACAAACACCAAGCTTCTCTCTCTGCTACACACAGTGCACAGACTTTTGCTCTAGTTTTTACTTCTTTCTTTGAACAGCCCTTTGCTCTGTCTTCCACAGTGCTGCCCTTCTCTCTTTCCAACATCGTGCCATCCCTATCCATACATTGTGTATATTTCTGTTTTTCCCATATGAGTATTATCAGGCCTGAAGTATTTATTATTTTTTTTTGTCAGCTGTGTCTCTGACTCACACTCTGGAACCATTACCATGCTTAAGAGTCTCCAAACCAAGCTGAGATTTCAATGCTTCTCACCTATATATTATATATTAAATACTGTATCAGTACATGCTGAAATGTTCTCCTGCTGGTTACAATGCAATTTTTGCAGTGAGTCTATAATTATGTTTACATTAACAATATGCACATGCACAATCATTAATAATAATAGTACTTGCCTTTGATATAGCACCTTATCATGTCTTCGAGACATCTCAAAGCACTTCATAGAATATGCTGTAAAGTGCAGTGACTGTATATTTTGTGGGCGAAAAGCGGCAACCAATTGCGTACAGCAGTGTCCCACAAATAGTCATGGATTGAAATGATCAATTTATTTTTTTTGAGGAACTATTACCCCTGGAAAAGCGATCTGCCAATTGACTTAACAACCGGGTTCCTATTTACTGCTAGGAAGATTATCTCCACAAAATTTCAGTGACTATTTTGCCTTTTATTCCATTTTGCCCATTTTGTGGTCTGCAGATATGGCTTGCTTGATTGTAGTAAAAAGTATTTTAATAAGATCATATTTCTAATTTTTGCTTTAGTTTTTACTTTTAAGTTTCAACAGTTTACTTGTTGCTATTTCTGTAATTTGAATATTTCTTCAGTGTATCAGCATTGTCGGATTCCCAAGTTCATTTTAGAAGCAAAAGGCAATAGGCACCTGGAAAATGATACAAAACACTGCTTCTCACCTATGTATTGTACATAATTCACTGCTGATTTAAGAATACCATGAAAATAAAATATTTTCACGTTGTCCTGACCTCTGCTGAGGCCATTCTTTAGTTCTCATCTCCTGGAGACTAAAAGCACTACCTCCTGTGAGATCAGTAGTAATAAACATCACATTCAGTGCTAAAGTTGTCATCTTCAAACACTGTTATGTTCAAGTGAGAGAAGGTGTTAATAGTTGCATTCAATACAATGCTGTGTATGTATTGCAGCTGTGTTTTGTTTCTCCTTTAGGTCTCTTTTAAAAACCTTTCTTCTGGTCCCTGACCAAGTTTGCTTTCTTCTCCTCTACAATATTGTCTGCTTCCATCCCAACACAGCCAAAACCTTCACCCGCACGTTCGTCATCTCCATGCTTGATTCTGACAATGTTCTTCTTTCCGGTCCTTCCTAGATCAACCTTTGACAAACTGCAGATATTCAGAGCTTCACAGTCCACATTCTTTCCCACACTAGGCTTTGCATGACAGTCATGCTCTACTGGCTCCCTATTCCCCAGTGGCTTGTTTTTAAGGTCCTTTTTTAAAAAATTCTTACACACCCTTGCTTGAGCTTCTATTATCTCCTGTAGTCCTACTCCATGTGCAATTCCTCAATTCTGAATGACTATGTAGAGAAGAACATGGCAGTTATGCAGAGGCCAGTATCATCAATAAAATATTTGCTAGCTTTACTGATGCACCTTAACAATTTCTAGTTATGAACTGGATTTGACTATTCTGTGGAAGATTGCTTTTGTTACATCTTATCTTGCATTCTTAAGTGAGTGGTTACTGAGTCTGCCCTGATTTATTACAGCTGGAGATAGACAAACTGAAGAAAGCTGTTCAATCTACGTGAGTCAAGTGGACTCTGAAGATCTCATATGCTGTGTGGGACAGTTTAACTATGACTCCATTGTTGCCAGTGACCCGGAAGAACAGTACTTTTGAGCATCTTTTCCCTTTATTCTAATTGTTTATTTGAAACTCTCAGATTATGATGTACTGATATCTTTGTAGAGATGGGTATAATCAAATGATGTAAATTTCTTGCCAATAAGAATGAATGAGGCCTTATTTACTACTGTGCTGGACTCGCAGAAAACACATTTGTGATCAGAGTTTTGGAGTTTGCTCAATGTACTACTGAATCTGTATAAAGGGGTAAGATGTTTAATGATTTTTTTAATTATGAAGATGTAGTTTAATTTTTTATGAATCTATCCAATGATTATAGTCATGCACAAATATATAAAATTAACATATTCTGCTAAATGGGAAAAAGGAGCCTAATAGATATTAGTTTTTTTTCTTGACAGAAAGGGAGGTTAATTTGCTGTATACAATTTTATTTTAGCTTTCCTACCCAGGGTTAACACTATTGTGCCTGAATGAAGTTTGCAGATGCAAGTATTAAATTAATATAAAGTAGTAAAAGGGCAAAGGAATGTAGACTACGGACCAATTGCATGTGCACAATGAAACTACTTTCGTAAAGAAGGTTATGTTGTTGATATGCTCATTTACACATTACCTCTAAAAAAGGGAGTTCATGGCCCTTACAGGTGTTCGAGGGTCTGAGGAAAATGTGCAAGCACCAGTTCTATCTTGATGTCTGTGTTAGTTTTGATTAATAGAATCTGTTATTTTCTGTCTTGCCTGTGGCCTGTCTTTCTATTGATTTAATGTCTCAGAAGATGTACAATAAATACCTACATTGTTGAGCTGCTTACAATTCTGAGGGAGAAAAAATATGATTTGGTTTGCGTTTAGGCAGACAAGTTTTTTTTTAAATTTCTCTTGAGCTATCTGCTCCTGCTGAGGTTAAAACCAAGTGCTATTGAAGACTGATTTTTACCAGTTCTTTGCTGCAATAAAACCCGTGATAAATGAACAGGAATGACAATCAATTCAAAATGAAAGTCATTGTTATATTCTTTTTCTTGCTCCTCATCTTTCTGCATGATAAAACAATGATAAAATGCTGTGCATTGGCAGGTGAGGTTCTCACCTTGCCTTAGCTATTCATACTATTCCACGTCCTGTAAAATCTTAAGTTTTTATTTTTAGTGTTTATCTTATAAGGAAATTTTGACTAATGCATTCTTTTTATAATCTATGGTTAATACCTTTACAATCAAGGAATTGTTCACAACTTGTTTACCAGTACTGTATGAGACGCATGCTTATTTTAAGTTTGTTTTAACATCCAAATAAAAAATAATTTGATAAAATCTTTTTCTTTCAGCTTTCAATTATATTTCTGAAGGATTACTTTTAATGTAGTTTACAATAACTCTATATTCAGTTAGAAAATTAACAGCCCTGGAAATGAGTGGATCCAGAGGTTGATTTGGGGATTATCATCTTACATAAGGTAGTTAGTCCAATGCTTGTGGTTAATAATAATAATCTTTGCATTTGATATAGCGCTTTTCACGTCTTCTAGACATCTCAAAGCGCTTCACAGAATATGCTATAAAGTGAATTGACCGTATATTTGTGAGCGAAACCCGGCAGCCAATTTCGTACAGCAGTGTCCCACAAACAGTCGTGGATTGAAAATGACTAATTTATTATTGTTTTGTTTTGGAGTTATTATTAGTAGAAGTGTGGAGTAAGGAAACTTGCCCAAGGTTTCTCCCTGCCTGGAATTGAACCCAGGTGTCTCACTTGCAAGGTGAGTGCTCTAACCACTGAACTACAGGACTCCACATGAAATGATCAACTTGAAAGCAGAAAGAATTGGGTCGGACATCAAGCTCTGTAGTTGAACAGTATATGGTAACTTTGACCAGGGTAATAATAATAATTATAATCCTTGCATTTAATAAAGCACTTTATAACGTCATTGAGCCATCGCAAAGCGCTTCACGGGATATACTGTAAAGTGGATTGACTGTATAATTTGTGGGTGAAATAGACTAGGGGTAGTCAAAATGGGTGGGTCAAAGACCTGACTAGAGCGGCCCTAAATAGCAATTCGTGAGTGATAGTGGACTTCATCTGGTATAGCTCTGCAAACCAAAGATTAACACTGGATAGTACAAATGATGGAGGACACGAGTCCTGTAACTGAGCCCTTTTATGTATTGTTTTTACACCAAAGTACAAATTATTTAGACCAGCTTCTCGAACTGGCAGAAAGGAACAGGGATAATACAAGTCAGACAAACAGAAAATGTCCCTGAAGCCCAAATAAGAGACGTGGGGGAACATATCGCCATCTGGAGGCAGACATGTGGGATTTAGTCCAGTGGCAGAAGTAGTTGAGAAATAGCATCATCTAGTGGTTAGTTTTGAACTAGATCTATGACACATACTTGACCCCGTTTTTAGAAAGCATAAAATCCCAGAATTATTTGATTTAACTCCTGAACTGTGTGAAGAACAAAAATGAAAGGCTGCAGATTTATTGCAAGAATATCCAGTTTGTATCTAGGATTTTCTGGCTAAATGTGGAGTATTGACCATAGTCTAAAATGCATCTGGTTAAGCAACACTGAACACCAGGAATGTAGCTCCTATTAGCTCAAGTATGTCATTATAGTGCTATCTTGTGGCAAAAAGATGCCACTACAATTGATTATTCATAGTCTCTTGCATGTTGGGATCATGTCTTGTCACTTGGAACCCAATCTTAGTTGGGGGAGGTGGTTGAAAGTGCAGTTGACGAAAGTGGTCTTAATTATATTCATATAATAAGAGAAGTGGCCTAACAATGACAAGAGCATGGTAAAGTACTGTATGCAATATACATTTATAAAGAGTCTCATATCGGGAGGATGGCCCAAGGCACTTGGCACCCAAGCTGGGGGTGGGAACAAGGATTGTGGGTTGGGGACACATGCCTGAAAGCACGGTCAAAGAGGTAGGTCTTGAGATGGACCTTGATCGAGGTGAGGGAGGGAGGGAGGGAGGGAGGGACGGCGCAAGTCGGAGGGACTCTGGGATGGAGTTCCTGAGAGTATGTTCAATTCTGGAAATCTACCTGTAATGTGATTGAGCACAACTGGGTGATTTTGAAATGATTCATGGTCGAGTAAAAAGAAAATGTTTTAATGTCCTGTCTCCCACAGGCATTTCTTCACACTTCTGATCTAATTGAAAGTGTAAAAGCATTACCTCCTGGGAGACCAGTACAGTGCAAAATAGCATCTTACTTAACAGTGGTAGACTTTGTGTATAGTGGTGTGACTTCATCATAGGACACTGTAGTGCATGAAAGATATATGAGGTAAGGTGCTAATGGCTACAATCAAACAATGTTTAAGACAGCTGCATGAGACATTTTTTATTTTTGGAGGTGGAAGAAACAGAACAATATTATTCATGTCAGTCTTCCCTGCAGTAATGCATGCAGCTAGAATCCATGACAGACAATGTAACTGTTCAGATGTTATAACTAAGATTTTTAACCTTTAAACTGCCTTGAAATAATTTTTCCTCCTTTGTGAGAAGACTTTAAATGTTTTTTGAATTTTTTTTTGAATAGAATAGTATCAACTGTCTGTCTGGAGACATCTCATTATAACAACCTCACAGGCATCGCACGTTATGAGAAAGATAAAACCCATACTATTGAATTATTAAAAATATGAAATTTATAAGGACCTCTGTATTTTGTAAATAAAGTAAACGAGGAACTGCAATGATTGTTATTTTATGATCTGTATAACACACGGCTTAAGATGTTCACTGTAGCAAACTAGACCTGAAATGGAAAAGAGGAACAAAGATACCAGTGTCCGAGCACTACAATATAGTAAGTATGAATGAGTGTGTGAAGAAAAAAACTGATGGCATGGTACTATTACACTGCCAGTGCTATCAATAAAATGCTTGTTAGCTTTACTGATGCATTTCAACTTTTGTCAGTTGATTTCTCTGCATGAACTGGGTTTAGCTGTCCTTTGGAGCATTGCTTTTGTTACATCTAACCTTCCATTACTAATGAATGGTTGTGGAGTCTGCCATTCTTTCTTACAGTTGACATAAAAGAAGATAAAAAACAGTCTCTCCCTAATGTGAATTCATGGAAGCTTTTTGAAGGAAAACTTCCAATGGGATGTGTTCGGATTTTACATTCTGGAACTCACATTACATTGCTAATTTGTTTAGACACAGACTAAACTGATCTACTCTTTCACAATAATCCTTATGAACCCAAGGAAAATTTTATTTTATTGATGGTATCTTTCTTGGGAATAAAACGATTAGCAAGTACTGATTTAGCTCTGTCACAATCCTTCATCTCCCCATATTGACCAGTAATAGAATATCTTGTAGCTAATGTCAATGAGAGCCTTTGTGTGTTCAGGTACAGTGCTCAACTGTTTAGAACTATTGTCCTAAAGACTTCTTTAACCACAACTGGGGACATATCAGAATGTGCAACCGTATAGGTAGGAAGCTTAGTACAGTCAGAGAGGTTATGTATATTCAAAAAGTAGTTCCTTTGTATTAGCTGCTTTTTCAACAATTATCTGTGTAACTAGGTTCTGGATAATGTCTTGTTATTAGCGATCCAGTCATACTCCCATGTGAATCGGAAAATAAATGTAAAACCAGGGTTATACATTAAACATTCAAATCGATTTGGTTCTGAAATTATCATAACAAAACACTGTGCAGTGTAAATCATTTATTTGACTTTCTCAGTTTTTGATGTATTGATATCAGTATAGAGATGGGCATGATCAAATTATGTCAATTTCTTGCCAATAAGAATGAATTTTCTACAGGATATGATGTAAAATAATAATAATCCTTGTATTTGATATAGTGCCTTCACGATGTCACAAAGCGCTTCATAGAATACACTGTAAAATGCAGTGACTGTATTTTGTGGACAAAACATAGCAGCCAATTGCGCACAGCAGTGTCCTACAAACAATCGTGGAGTGAGTGACCAATTTATTTTTTTTTTGAAGGGATTATTACACCCTGGAAAGCGATCCACCAATCGACTAACAACTGGGTTCCTACTTACTGCTAGATAACAGACGAAAATACTGAAACAACACACTAATGCAGTGATTGTGTACTTTGTAGCTGAACATGGAAGCCAATCTGCGCATAGCAGTGTCCCACATTTGTAATTTTGTAATGTATATAGCAATGAAGTGAATGATCAATTTTATTTGGGGGATTGCCAGGACACCAGACAGTTAAGGAAGTGAATCACAGCTGAATCTACATCCACACAGGCAAGAGGCTTAACATTGCAATCAAATCATTTTGGTTAACAAAACCACTGTCTGCATTACTATCATTAATAATCTTTTTTATTTTAAACGAGTTTTCCAATTGAATATGACAATAACACATCCCTGACTAGCCCCATATGCTGAATGCATTGACATTGCATTCCTGCAAAGTGCTTTGGGTTGTGCTGATGTGAAAGCCTCCATACCAAACGTAAGGAAGGATAATACAACACACTCTTGTCTTAAATATCAGCCTGGCTCAGTTGGTAGCCTTTGAATCAGAAAGCTGTCAATTCACTTTACAGCATATTCTGTGAAGCGCTTTGAGATATCGAGAAGATGTGAAAAGCGCTATATCAAATGCAAGGATTATTATTATTATTACCTCTATGTCCTACTAAAACCTTACCAACCTGCCCCCCCTCTCCGACTAGCCTGTTCCATCTCCCCTGCCCCCCTCCAGGTCTTGACCAGCAGGTCAAGAACAGCTAGAATATAATACTAAAGGCTATTCTTTTGATGTTTACATATTTGTATACTTATTTGCAGGGAAAGAGAGTAAGAGTTCCGTAGCCTCAGTGCATCATAGAGCATTCGCCTCACAAGGGAGAGACCTGGGTTTGATTCCTGGCAAGGCCAAACTTTGAGCAAGTTTCCTTACTGCACGCCTCTATTTACCTAGCAGTAAGTAGGAACCTGGTTGTTTGTCAATTGGCAGATCACTTTTCCAGAGGTAATAATTCCTTTTAAATAATAATAATAAATTGGTCACTTAATCCACGGCTGTTTGTGGGACACTGCTGTGGGACATTGGCTGCTGCGGTTTGCCCAGAAAATATACAGTCAATTCACTTTACAGTATATTTTGTGAGGTGCTTTGAGACGTATTGAAGACATGATAAGGTGCTATATCAAATGCAAGGATTATTGCTATTATCATTGTAGATATGGTCGATAGTTTTGCTATTACGGTAATTTGATTAGTGTCTAGTGATAAACTATCTGTGGGCTTCCAGATGTCGATA